CGGCACCTTCCATCCTAGTTTGTTTATCAGAGTTACCAGTATCTTGTCCGCGTTCGTTACCAGCAAGGTCAATCAAAGAAAATTTACCCCACAGCTTATTATTTCTGTGAAAGAATGGGCTATAACAAACTGATGACTGAACATACTGTTTCAATATAATCTGGAAAACTGCATGAGAACGACTCGAGTTTGAGTTGGCAGAAGTGGCTCCTGCAGTTCTTAACTCAGTTCCACGGCGAATCAAATCCAGCACCTAGGTAACTCCTCAGTAATGATACAAAGAAAATTGAACACTCACATCTTCCTCATTGTCCACCTCTTCTTCTTTCAACCCGACCACATTAACTTCTTTCTTTCCATCTTCCAGTACTCTCAAAAGAGCTTTGTCATTCAATAAATCGAACACCTATAAGAAAAAAAATAATAAAGCAAACGATCTTCGAACACAGATCTCACTTTTCCACCGTAGATTTCAAAATAACAGCAAAACACTTGGAGCTTCTTGTTTCTAAACTCTCTATTTCGGGTTTTAAAAACATCCGTCGCAGTCAGCGCATAGATACCTCCCGAGCAGTTCTGTTGTAAAGATAGGTTAAAAAGATGGGTAACTGCAACTAACTTGGTTTTTTCCTTGGAAATCACCACCCATAGTATGGGTTTTTCCAGACCCAGTTTGACCATAGGCGAAACAAGTTGCAAAACCCTTTTCAAAAATTGTTTTGACCAAAGGTTGCGCAGTGAATCTTAGAAGGATAAATAGAAAGTGATAAATTGTGATACACACCTATAAACCATTTCATTAGGAGTATTTTCGTCGAAAGCATAATCGAATCTGAACTTCTGGTTCTCCAAGAACTTAGTTAAATCAACTTTGACTTGAGGCTGATGAACAATCAGATGGTCTCTGTTAGGGATTGTTATCACCTATGACATGAGGATATGAACATAAAGACGAACTGAATCTTACCTCAATTTCTTTTTTAGTTGTCTCTTTCTTATTGAGAGGACGTTTCCTGACACAAACAGAAATTCGTGAGTCGACTACAGCGTCTGTCATTTTCAAAGGACGATAATCGATCTAAAAAAAACAAAATTAGAAACAGAGTTCAATGAGCAATTACATTCGCTCGGAACTCTCTAATCATACTGTAAAATGGATTGTTAGCTATAACAGGATCAACAGCTTTCTCCATCTCTTTTTGTTTCCGAGCACGGTCCTTCGAAACAATACAATTTGAAAAACAATTTCGCATTTATAGATACCTGCTGAGCCCTTCGCTCTTCTCTATCTTTCTGCAGTTTCTCCACATTTTGTAGGGTCGAGCCTTTTGCTTTATGATCATTATCAACTATAGTGGTGTCAGCTTAAAACATTATAACGGTAGACTACTAAAGACAACAAATAGTTCTGGCTACCCTCTATATGTTCGGCTGATTGTGCTAACAAAGTACGATTCAATTCTACTGGAGTAGACACAGTACTAGAAGGTCCACTAGTGAATTGCATGCGGGAAATACCTAACAACCACAACTACGAAAACAAAAAGAAAACGCAAAAATTTACCTGGTCTTGGTGGCTGAAGCCTACTCTTCGACTGGCTTGGCATAATTTGAGTAGGAGCAGGTTCATTGCTTACATCTGATGCAGACCCAGAGCTTGTAAATACATGTGATCGTCTGAATATGGACAGTAATAAGGAAAATAAGCATCAAATACCTCGGAGGAAGTCTGGTAGGCTCTGGACGAACAGGCATGTTTCTTCGGGGAGGAATTTTTATATCGTCTAATGTCTCATTTTCATCATTCTCATCCTAAACACACCATCAGAAAACTCAGTGATAGAAGACTACAACCTCCATGAAAGATTGAACGTGAGAAGCAGGGGCTTTGTAGTCTATTTTAGGTTCTTTCTTTCTTAAAGTTGGGTTGATTAGTAAAAGAGTGTTAATATCAATTTCCTTTCCTTTGGTTTCACCCTGAAACACATTTCGAATTCACAAAGAAACAGTTGAATATTAGAAAAGCTTTGAAGAAACCTACATTTTCAAACCATTCTACCATGACAACACGTTTTTCCGGCTTTAATTCCGTTACAACAGAAGAATGGACTCTCCCATCGGACCTAACAAATTTTAAAAAGTCAGAAATGAAACTTGAAGAAATTGAAATAAAAGAGTAAAACAACTTACCTTTTGATGTCCACATGCATTCCTACTTCAATTCTCTCCATCTTGGGAGTTTTGAGCCCCTGCTGACCAGCAGCCCGATATTCTGTAACAACGATTTTGTGTGTTTCATACGGTTTTCATTTTTGACCCCGCCCAGTTAACTGTGCGCGCCATGGTTACTTTGCGTATTTTTATTTGAAAGAACAAAAAAGTTATGTAAAACAGTATAAGATTATGCACAATTTAAAGAATGTTACGGTCTAGGAAGTGATACGTTCGTTTGTGTGATTCACTTTTCAATTACAAGGCGATATCTTCGAAGATTAACGTCGAAGATGTCGTGATTGAAGTTTAGTCTGCGTTGCATGAACTTCTTCATACAAGACTTCCAAGTGTATTTCGCGCAGCCGAAAATATCTTTCCGACTTCTATTATGAATTCATTCGATAGAATATCTGTCTCAGAATTACAAGCAGCATTAACAAGCTTAAAAACATAATCTCTAAAGGGCTCGAATAAGTTGCCACCATAAGATAAGCTGACCAACTTAGAAACAATACACTGGCATAATTTGAGTTAAAAGCTTTTATTGATTAGCGTGCGAGAGTGTGACACTCTCAATCTCATGTCTGTTTGTGGGAATATGTTGAAATCATTGATGGAACAAGATGAAGCTTTAAGATTTCACAATATTGAAAAGGTCTTTCGAGAGATCAATGCATGGGACAGAGGGAAATGCAAGCTGCTTAAATATCGAATCGGGCGCGAATAGGACATACAGCTGGAGCATGTTTAGGGTTCAGACCTTTAAACTTCTTAGGTTTAATTATATTTTATAATTTCTAAACGTATAAGCTTCGAGAAGCTCTGCACAATTCAATCATGTGTACAGATTTTTCATCACTTCCTGATACTGGTGATCAATTTGAAAAAGGAAGTGCACTCACCTGTAGTTCTCCCAAGAGACGGTCTCCCTTTCAACTTCATTCTTCTAGTTTTGTTTTCTTGAACACTTAAAAAACATAACAAATTCAATCATTTTTTTAATCAGAAACACAATCCAAATAAGGAAGAACAGTACGATTCTGTAAGAAATTTATGAAATGTATCTATGAGGCACTATAATAAGATGAGAAGACACCCATCTCTTCCTCATCGTGATTATTCAGAAGGTCATCACGGACTAATTAGCAATCAAATATTTGATGATCTGACAAATGAAGAAATTTGCATGATGAAAACAAATGTTGATAATGGATGTTGAATTATATAAATACGCTGTAAACGATTTAGTTGAAAGCCATAGATAAAACTCGAGTGTGACAATAAGTTTGAAAGATCCAGCGTTTGAGACAACAGAGCAGAATGATTTGAAATGCAAAGAATTCTGAAGTACAGCGATAGTCTCAGACACTGAAACTTTCGATTCTTTATGAAAATAGGAAATAAAATAGTTTTTTTTTGCTTTTCCATTGCATAGATCAAACGTATTCCAAGTTCTGACAGATCAAACGAGGGAGGACAGATGGAGAGAGTAACATCTTACAATATATTTAAATACTAATTCAAAAATTGAGTCAAACGATATAACAGAGCATACAATCTGCCATTCTCTTTAATAGCTGTAACAATGACCATAATGACTTAGTATCCTACATTCAAAGAATGCAGCAATCGATATAACTCTTTGTTTCGTTCAAAGGTTCAACAAATTATTGCATTGCACTTGTACGTTTGAATGGAGAGTAATTGATTTACTCCGAAATCTTTGGGCCAAACTCTTACAATTTTCCCCTTTTTTATCGATTTGTTGGTTCATTCGAACATTTCCCTTCAGAGTTAATTAAGCGTTGCACAATTGAAGCTTCCGACAAACACAACCGTTCTACGGCTCTGTAATTGAAAAATGGGAGACGAAGTGTATAAGAACTTGGACTGGGATAAAACTCATGTGTTTACTAATAAGAGGGAAGTTCAGTTCTTTAAGTTCTTTCGTATTACATATTCTGACAAAACTGAACTATTAAATAAGTCTGCTCTCTGGTTATCAGACTAGAGCCTGAAAATAGGAAAATGAACTCACGATTAAGTATCCCTCTAGATCTTCGGTGTTAATCTTACGACTTCATCTCGCTCGAAGAAAATGTTTCTTTTTAGTCATTTCGGACGTATCTCTTTGTTTTAGCGGTAAGTAGGATCACCGCAAAACTTCGAACGAAAAATCGCTTAATTATCTGGTCATCAACGTCGGATGTGAGAAATCGGTCTCAGTTTCTGAAAAGATTTCGTAAAATCGACGTATTTGGACAAACTGGCAGATAACTAGCTCGGCGATGGCGAGAAAAAACTGAAATTCACCGAGGAGCCTGATATGTTCCCCTTGTTCGAATAGTTTTAGGTGAGATTCCGGAAAAAACTTTTGTTCGTCATCATAAATCCCATGTCTTCTCTCTAACAAGAAGGAATGGATTCTCTGATTTCAAGAATTTATCTGTTCATCATTTTTTTCGTTTTTCAATTCTTCGCATCTTCATGTTCGATTTAAGGTAGAAGAAGAGCGTTTAAGAATGTCGGGAAAATATAAAAAACGAATAAAATGAATTCGGTACTATAATGAAATGATACTTTTTCGGGCAAGAAAGATAGACAGTGCAGAAATGATTTTATTATGAATAAATAAGTGGTCTGACAATAATTCACCCTCGTCAACGAAGGCGGCTCGATCATCTCCATAAATGGCAAAATTAGGAAAGAAAGATGTTGCGAACGGGTTACCGGAAACACATCTAATAACCAGGTGGAGTACGTGGAGCTAAAAAGAAAAAATATTCGCTTTCAAGGTTAATTTTTGTATACCTGGGCAGTGAGTGCAGTCTCCCTTCTCTCCGTCTGGTCCTGGTGGTCCGTTTGGTCCATTTGGTCCTGGACGTCCTTCTGGTCCTGGGTTTCCTGGATCTCCTGGTGGTCCAGGTGGTCCCTGAAGAGATAATATATATTTTAACATGAATGCTTTGCTGTTTTACCTGGTATGATTGTCCGTCTGGTCCTGGATTTCCTTTTGGTCCTGGTGGTCCCACTGGTCCAGGCTTTCCTGGAGGTCCTTGTGGTCCTGGGACTGGGATGAGACGTCCAGAAGCTCCTGGGGCTCCCTTCATTCCATCTCTTCCTGGTCTTCCGATTGGTCCAGGTTGTCCAGCCATACCGTCATCTCCTGGAACTCCGTCCTTTGGTGGTTCTCCTGGAGATCCCTTAGGTCCTGGTGGTCCCTTTGGTCCCATTGGACCCATTGGTCCAGTTGGTCCTGGAGGGCAAATGATGCAAGGCTCAGCTGGTGGAGCAGGGAGAAGTTCAGCATCACGTCCATTCTTTCCGTCTTTTCCGTTCTTTCCGTCCTTTCCATTGTTTCCTGGTGGTCCTTCAGGTCCTGGAGGTCCAGCAGCTCCTTGGTTACATGTGCAGCAAATTGGAGCGGGCTCAGCATTAACAGCAGCTCCGTATCCGCCATATCCGGAGTTTCCTGAATAATAAATAAGTTTAAAACATGTTCAATCTGAAAGAAATATACCTCCTCCTCCTCCTCCACCTCCAGCTCCACTCTCTGGAATCCATTGTCCGAAAAGCCAAGCTCTCTTTTGACGGTGGGCAAGGCCCTTTCCGGCTTGAAGAGCAGTCATTTCGAGCCACATATCACGTGAACGGGCCTAAAAAAAAACCAAGATTAATTTCACACAGCTGAAGAAAATATTTACCTTGCAATAATCTGTTTCAACCATAAGATGGCTTTGGAAGGACTGAACATAGTTGTAGAGCATTGGAAGCGTAACGACACTAGCGATGACAGCGACAGTGCTGACGACGACAGCCACGAAGGCAATTCGTCTCATCTGTCGTTGCTCGTCGGACTCCTTGAGTTGCTGGTCCATAGTTCTCTTACTATCGACTATTAAACTGTCTCCGTGCAGACCCTCTGAGCTAAGCTGAGTTGGGTCGTAGGCTTTAGGAGAAGCGGATAGACGACGACGACACGGGGGCGATGGAAGAGAATACGGGGCGTCCGCCCACCAACTCTTCCTTTTGTACTCGTCCGCCCCATCGGCGACGAAAAAGAACTGGAATCGTTGTGCCTCCGAGAAGTCCGTTATCCAACCCCTTATTCCAACTATCAACCACCCTACCGCTTCGGACCGTATTCTTTCAAAGTACAGTCTGATCTTAAGTGTCTGAACCTCTATGAAAGAAGTTGTGTCTAAACACCGTCCGTCCAAATCCCGCTTTCTTTTTCGCTGCTGTCATCAAAGCTTTAAGGATAACTCTCGATCTAATTGAGAAGTTGATCGGTTCCCTGAATCTTCTACGCATTCATCAGGCTTCTTGTTTTGTCTCCATCACTCTGCGATGAAAACTCTCATTGCAAAAACGATTTCTTCCAAGAATCATGCTAGCAAAGCTGGCGAACAATAAAATCTCTAGTTCAGATCAAAACTGTTGTTCTGATAACCTAGACTTTACTGTTCATCATCTTATAAAATCTGAGCAGTTACTTTCTTAAGTCTTATCTCACACATTGCTAATAGCCATACGATATCATCGTTATTCAATACGTATTTTGACTACTTTTCTCACTTTGCCAGATTTTGTTCGACTAGGTTTATCGCTTGTACAATCGCTAGAATTAACCTGTACTACACGGGTATGGAACAATACTCTATATATTTCTCGACCTACTTATCAAAACCTTTAGGTATCTAAGCTGATCACCAAGTGAAGGTGGATTCAAGTTTTGTTTGACATACTCTTTCTCATCACTGCTCTGTCTATCGTGATCCAATTCCTCGGAACTTGCGATAACTTTTAACTGATATTTGGAAGCGTGAAAGTGTAAAAAACGAAATCTAAACTTGAGTTGAGAACTTGTTGATTTCCCGTCACTTTCGATTCTTATCTTGAACATCTAAACATTCACTTTTGCCTATTTCGACTACCCGTCTATTTCTCTCCCGAAAAATGCAGTTCCTCTAATGGTCTCACTGAAGAGATAAAGAAAAGAGAGAGTTAGGGCGATTGACCCAATTGTAGTTTCCATTGTTAAGAAGTTAGAAAAAAAGGAAAACAATGAAAGAAGAGAGAAATGCTGGAGGGATAACTGATAAGAACCTAGACAAGATCGTTGAAGCTTTATTATCAACACGCTCAATCTCATTATCTTTTGACAACCAACTACTCTTGTTCTAACATAAATCGCCCGTAAAAACTTATCAACTAACTTTGTACTGCTTCATCCCGAATGATACGAAGAACGCAATCATGTTATGCTATGTGCAGTATAGGAATCTCTTATCGCTGGTGATCATGTGATTTACTCGTAACATCGTTCGGATGTCTTACATATAGGCAACATGAAATACTCGTGTGCCTTGGAGGATGAAACAACAACACAGAAGCCATGAAGACTTGAACGATATACCCAGTTTGAGAAACATCAGAAAGAGCAAAAAGAATTAGTATACATAAATCTTTATAATTTCAATGTTTTAACAGTTTGTAACAAAAATAACAGAGTAACAAAAACAAATCAACAAATCACAAAAAACAACATAACAGTAAATTCTAATCATCCCTACGAAGATTACGCTCTTCAGCAGCTTTTCTTTTTGCGATTCTGTAGGGCTTCAAAGCATCTAGTTTCCTCTTCTTTCTGCGAACACTTTTTTGAGTTTCCAGCTGCCTCAATGCAGCATACTCGGCAGGATTTGTCACAGCTAGTTCCTGCATAAATTACTTTAAACACTCCTTTAACTTCAAAAAAGCTCACCCTCATCTTCTGTACTCTTTCTGCTTTCTTCTCCGCCGCTACCTTAGAAGCTTCTGCGAAACGCGTATTATATTCGTGTTCGCCCAGTAAATTCTGTAGCACTGTTGCTATTTCGATGGTTAAATTCTCGAGAGTTTTAGTAGCTGAAAAGGTAAATTGAGCTTGAGATACGATGATTCGTGCTTACTTAGTTGAGATTTTCCACATAATTCTCTTACGAATAAATGGAAGAATTTACTAATAATGAACTCCGTTCGTTCATTCAACTCGCCATGCTTCATAATCAGCGCAGCTGCGATTTTGAAACAAATTTGACGCTAAAACGATGAATCATTTAAAAATCAAACTGGTTTTGTACCTTTATTGACTCCGTATGCCTTTTCATTATTTCAAACTGACATGCATTATGGAGAGTTTCAATAATAGTCTCAAAGTTCTCTTTGTCTAACGATGGCTCCATAAATACAATATTTTTTGAAGCCTAAATAATGTTCTTGTATTATAGAATTGTAATTCTAATTTAATACTTGTTCTGATACATCTTCATTAGGTAAATTGTCTTTGATTAACCAGCACATCCAATCACATAGTTGGAAAACGGTAGGAAGACCGTCCATAACTGGCAACTAAATACACACCACATATCGACACTTGTGAAACTAACAAACTTTTAGTGGGGTTTCCCATATAGATAATGCCATACCAATGAAACCACATGCACTTCTTCGAGTATCGGTTGAACCAAAACATTTAACTAGAGGCTCCAGATGAGCTGCAAGAATACATAAAATTATGAAGGAAAAAAATAACATCTCATACCAAATATACGATAGAAATCTTCTGTGACTACTAAACGCTTACAGTTCTCCACACCGATATTATTCATAATGATAACTAGACCGTCCATTAAGTTTGTTAAACTTCTCTCACTTGAAGAAATTTTGAATCAGAAAAAACCTATCTCAATTACCTGTTCATATCCATAACGTCTTCACAAGACAGAATTTTAATTATATTTTGGATAAGGACATCCATATGAGCTACAAAATTAACTTTCTCAACGTGACTCAATTCGACAAAGATTGAATATCCTATGGCTCTTGCTCCTTCCTGAGAAATCAGATGAAAACACGACATTCGATAGAAAGAACCTTTCTTTGTTGCAGCCATTCCGTTGCTACTTCTACTACATCATTTCTCATTGTCTCATTTATCGCTTCTAACAATTTTCGAAGAGTTTGCGATACATACTTTCGAACTTCAGGAACTGTTTCGTCCACAAGACGGAGCCCCAATTTAGTGAGACAATACATATACGTATCTTCCAGAGAAGGCTGTAAACGAGTTCATTAAGATGTTCCTTATAACTGAACCTCACCGGTAGTAACTCATCAAATAGTGCGTACAAAGTTTCAGCAGCATTTTTTCTTCCCCCACTATGCTCATATTCCAGTTGATCCGCAAAGAACTCCAAGTACTCATTCTTGTTGCAACTTGGATGTTGAAATACATATAAACACACGGTCTGAACAGAAAAATAAATCAATCAGGTAAAAATACAACAAGATACTTCTCTGCTGTGTCTACTGATGAATGGCAGTTCTGCTACGATAGCCAACTCACTTATCCTTCTCATCACTACGGGAATCTAAATGAGCAAAATTGAGAAAACTAACTAGAAAAAATGCCAACTCTGGAATGCTTCAACTTCCTACTAATCATAGCTTTTATGAGTGAGAAAGCTGTCGCCTGTTTATGCGAATCCATGATATCGGTCTCGATGTAATTCAACAATAGCTCCACATGACTACGCGTGAAACAACTTTCATAACCTTGGAATATGATTTTGGTGAAAGACTGAAAAACTGTAAGTTTGAAGAAATTTTTAATCTGCTCACTTTGAATAAGTAGCTGTTCAAAAGTAACACTGAAGCCTGGTTAGCAGCATCTCCGAGGTTAACGTAATCGGAGAGCAGAACAAAAAGTCTGAAATAGATTGGATAAGATAAGTTGAGAGAAACAGTTTACCTTTCGATGATAGAAGTCATGCTTGTATCAACATTGGACAGGCCCAATTTGAGGAAATGATACAGACAGTCTAATCCATGAGATATGACCAGATCATACTTTAGGTTCAAACATCTAAGTATCATAGGAACAAACGGTTCCAATTTGGATTTACTGTAGTCACGAAGCTTGTGTTCTGAATTTTAAATAGACAGAATCAGGTGAAAGAAAGATACCTTTCAACAAAACTGCTAGAAGTTGTAATGCAAATTCGACAAATACGTGTACTTTGCTTTTGATGGACGTTCTAGCTATAGCACCAATTCTTCTTGGAGCCTGAAGTTGGGACGTTAAGCTTTTATCAAAACCGTAATATTAATACCTCAGGAATGATTAAACAGCTCTGAGGTTTAACTCTGCTCGAAACTGATTCAGTTTTATTCGATTCAGCAACTCTTTCCATTTTCTCTATGTTCTCAGTCAATGTGCTGTGAATAAGAATGAGTTGAGTCTCAATAGACACTCCGGAATTATGTTTCATTCCAAACGCAAACTTGGAAAGTAGATTAGCGGCGCGGGTTATTCCTAACCTCGTGCATTTCCACTCCAATGTACTCCTTAAGAAAAAATTAATTTTGCAATATGAAATTTCAACATACCGTATCTTATTGATGATTAGTCCCAAAACTGAAGGTGAAGCATACTTTCCTAAGTAAAACATTGTCGAAGGTGATGTGTTTCCTTTCGCCTCGAAGGTTTTCGCACGAATTGATCCAACTTCTTTTTCCTCTGATAAATCTCCAAACTGATCTTGCACAATGCAATCCATTATTTCTTCTAAGCAATTGTCCAAAACTCCTGTTGACAGATTATCTTTCATTGATTCGATGAGCGCATGAACAGTGAAAACCATCACATGAATCTAAAAAGAATCTGAGGTTAAAATTGAAGAAGACAAAACTTCACCTGGTATCCTTTATTCATAATCATCTTGATTTCTTTGATAATTGGTGATAAATATTGAGGACCCAAGCACGCAACAACTTTAAGTGTGTTTTCTCTTGCGTGTTTTCGTACTACCATTGAGCGAGCTACCATAAGGTGAGATAACCTCAGAATGATTCTGAAGAAAAAAATTTACAAAATGTTCAATGTGTAGAAAAAGCGTTACCCATGTAAATACTGGTCAAGATAGGTCTTGGGTAACTTTAAAAGAAGTTTCACAGTAGCTAGGGCAACAGGTGTACGGATCACATCGTCTTTCTCCGCCTGCATTACGGATTCTCCATTTCTAGCCTTTTTGTGAACATCGTCCGAACCACCCTGAAACATTGTAACTAATTTCAGCACGATAAAACTGTCCCACTTTTCCGTTGATACAAGATTGCAACCTAGGAATTATTTCGGCATCCAGAATTGATCTTATAGTTATAGCTTCTTCATTACTGCCGTCAGGGTTCAATTCATCCTTTGCGTCAGCAACATCGAAATGGAAAGCCTCGATTATGTTAACTAGAACCCTGTAACAAACGTTTTTAGAGGTTATATGAAATCAGGAACGCACCTAACATAGCATTTTCTCTCGTCTTCCATTTTTTCTGTGCGAAGAAGCCACATACGGAAAATTGGCCAATAGCTTTTCCACGGAGCTAAAGTGTAAATGGACCGATACAGCTTCAGAGCAACTTTAGTATCGGATTCTCCTTCTTCGGAATTCTTCAACAAGTATGGTGCAATTATAGGAGCAAGGAACATATTCAGAACACGGAAAGACAAAGTAACAGTCTGAAAGCATTTAATGAACAGATTACTACAACCTCCACAAACCTTCTGTTCTGTTAGCTGCGTACTTAAACTGCGCAAAGCTCTTTGACGTCTATGGACCTAGAAAAGAACAAAACAATTAGTGTTACCAGTTAAATTTTTACTTGAATATGATAGAGGTTCATGAAGAAATCAGCGTCGGCATTTTTCGCTATGAGCTGTTGTAGCTCGCACAAATCTGGGTGTTCGGGGAAACTTATTACAAGAACACGCAGGTTTCGAACGCATTCATCTCGAACAACCTGAAGAATTTACATGACAGTTATATCAAATGACTCCTAACCGCTTGCTCGGAACTTAAGCCTCTCACTGTCAGGAAGACCAGTGTGTTATTAACCAGCTCCTGTTTCCTTGTCTCATCTTCATGTGGTAACTTGAACAATCCGAAAATGGCACGTATCGTAGTTCCAGAAGTGGTTCGTAAAGATAAATCTTTAGTCTGATATGAGAAGGATGATTATCAACAAAGTTACTAAAAATCACTTACATTGTAAAGCGTATTATGACATACATGAGTCACAAACTTCAGAAGTGTAAGATTTACTTTTTCCTCATTCTCACAAATCTGAAAGAAACCTTCTTTGCGAATAAATAGAAGTTTCTACCGTATAAATCCTAGAAAAGGCTGCGTGCCGCTTATCGAAATCAGGTTCGTCGATAGTTTTCTTATCAAAACTATCCAAATCGGAACAGAGTAGCAACAACTCCTGAAAACGAAAATTGAGTAAAACAGTAATAACAAATTAGCACTTGGAAGTCTTCTGGAACATTTGGATTCTGAGTAAGCTCGAAACAAATATTTGCGAGAGCAGCACGTCCGATCGGCGTTTGGATGCGAGTATAGGGAGGACACAAGCAACTGTAAGCTCATTGTAATATGATTTATCGAAGAGAGTCTTACTTTATGAATTTTTCATAATCCACAATTCCTCTCGCGAGATGTGCTATTGTTTGGAGCATCTTACAGCACATGTTTTCACTAGGAATTTTGCCCTTCAGATAACCCAAGAGAGTAAATGCAAGTTTCTCCGCAACTTCTCCTCCTCGAACATAATCGGAAAGTCTGTGAAGTAAGACTTTTTAATGATATCTCAGTATTGAAAAATGTCATACTTATTTAAGATGGTCAAATTATCAGGATCAATTCTCTTATTTTCTACATCATTTTGGATACTCAAAGATAGGTAAGTCAGCACACGGTCCAAACTTCCAAGAACTATGCTTGATCCATAGTTTACATCTAAAATCAGAGTTTTGTAAGCAGCTGACAGCAAAATGAACCTTTCTTAAGCTTGATTTTGTCCGTTTCTCTTATAATCATGCCTTCTTCATCAGCATAAGTTAATAAGTTAAGAATGCATTCACGCACTGCCCGTTTGAATGAAAGTGGTGAGTTATTACTGAACAAAACTGACAGCATGACATCGAAGGCAGACATATTCAAGTTGAAATCATTTTTCACTTCGAATGTGTAGAAGTAATAGAAACTGGAAGTAATGGTGAGTGGAGAACATAAGAAAACTAAATGATACCTGGGGTAGTTCGAAAAAGACGCGAGAACAGTAGAACAGGACATATATGGTACTAGTAATGAAGCTGCATTCACATCTAATAATGGGGATATTTCCATTTTTAGACCGCTGGAGATAACTATGTCGTACAGAGCTCGGATATCATCATCTGGGTATTGTCGTGTGAATGAACAACGGAAGAACTGGAAGTTATAACGATGGTATTAGAGTCCTGATGTCATTCAATCAAAAGCTTACTTTTTTGAAACCAATGCACAACGCTTTTCTTAATTTGTTGGTGTGAGTTCTTTTGAATGACGGGAGCTCCGCATTCCGACTCAAAGCATCCACAATTTTACCAGAACAGAGGAAAATCCGGTAGATGAAACTTTTCTGGTTTCCGGAAGCATCATTTGTGATCACACCAACCAGATCCGCGGCATTACTGATTGCCCTAAAAATAAGTAATTATATTCAAACGAAAATAGCTGCTTTATGTTGAGCTGTTTCACTGAGAGAAAGGGCAAGCTCAAGATAGCAGGATGTCTCTTGACACTTTTCTTATTATAGACGAGTTATTGAAGAATATGAGTAAGTGGAAATTGAGTTTATGTAATGCCTTTCTAGCTCCATATAGCTCTTCCTATCACATATCCTACTCTTACTTCGTTACTACACCAGATTTCCAACCATAGACATTCTGTCTTTTTCCTTTAAAACAACTTCTACTCAACCGATATGGCTTGTTCAACCTTCAGTTATGTTCAACTTCCTAGACTAAGGTAAACTTTGACAGAGCACATAAGTTTCCACGAAGAAGATTTAACAACCAATTTACCAGAACAAATAAGGAGCGGTTCGAGAAGTGTAATTAACGTTCTTAATCATATGCTTCACCGCTTCAGAAATGGATTTAAGTAGCAGGATTAAGGCAATCGTTGCTTGTTGTTTCTATTGTTTGTTCTGTTGTATTAAGAAACATAACGTCTTTCCTATGCTACCCATAACAGTTTTGAATGCATATGAACTCATCTTATAAATGTTGTCATAAATCAAATTAATTGCGGCCGATGTGAGGCAACTGGTGAGAGATGGTTGAATCACTATACGGTCTACTCATGTTGTAAATACACCGATGTAATGAAAAACACAACAGTTTGTTTTTGGAAATAAGTGTACCAAACTAGGCCTCATTTTTTATGCAGCCAGAAAACTGAGAGAAGGTCATAGGTAAGCCTTTATACTCGATACCAGATTGTTAAATACACAACTTGGGTATGCGTGCCCGTTGAGATTCGTTTCAGCTGGCTTCGAGTTGAAATATCAAATTACGCATCTCAAAGAATAGCCTTTACCGATTATAACATCAATCGACCCTCTAAAAATTTAATTAAGAGCTTTCGTATAGCTTCAAATGACAAAATAATCCTCATTTCAGTTCTTGACAACATTAGAATTAATACCCAGCACTTTACATTTTTGCTATTTACGTTCCTCAAAGAGAGCATCTGGCATAATCTACTTTCGGCTTATTATATAGGTCCCCTCCCCGTTTTTCCATTCCATTTTAACATGAGGATCAACATATAAACAAGACGTTTCATTTCTAAACATGTTTATAACCTCAAAAGAAAATCCATTGCCATCGGAAGAGTTGAAAGAACTCCATTACCCTGCTATTCGAGACAGCCATTATCTCGGACACATCTCAAACTTAGATTCTCTAGGTGCCTAATACGCCAAACAAAAAGAGGTCATATCTCGTCTTAACGGCCCTCTCAAATACTCTCTAGTGCTCAGTTGCCAGCTTGCGTGCTGATCTAGCATCTGAAGAATTTCACCTACTTGAGATTCATTTCATTGACTCCATGTCTTTTTCACATAAATCATATTCATAGTCCTTCAATGCTTCCTATTGGCAATTATCTTTAATGTGCACTAACACAACCTATCTCACTCTTCCCATTATCACCATTCATCATCCATTTGTATGAACAGCTCAGTTTTTAAACTAAGTATTTGCCATCTTCTACTGCAAGACAAGAGAACATGAGTTCTACTCACCACAAAAAGAGCAAACATCTCAAAAAATGAGTAGTTGATATCATATTTTTTCTAGAATTTTTTAAAGAAAGAGTACCCATTGAAAAGCTACTGCCCTACAAAATCATTACTTCTAAACAAAACAATTCGCTTTTTCATTTCAAGAAAGAAACTCGAATGACCACAAACGAATCTATCTCGAAGTCTGATTCAGTAATAGAAACATACTTTCCATCTAAAAGTAGAAGTTTCCGTCAGATTTCAATTGTGATATGCGGTTAATGATGCTATAGATCCACCAAATGCCCTCTGTTACATTCCTCCCTCACATCACACAACTGTTCGATCTCCCCTTTCACTTTCATCTAGTAAACTTTTCGATAAACTCTTTGTTTTAATTTCTAATCGCGTTGTGATTTCAGCTAAGTATATGCTCCGTTGAACGATGCTTCAAGATGAAAGCCAGACTAATAATTTATATTTCCTTAATAATTCAACTAGTGATCCCTCATCAGATTCATAAACGTGAATTTGAGAAAGATCAATGCAGGTTTGCTCGAAATCAATCTGCGCTTTATCGAAGTACATATTATAGTGCCAACATAGGTTTAGAAGTGATATGGAAGCAATGCCTCTGCTTCCCTGTTGGCTCGGATCATGCTTTGCACATAATTTGTCAGCAAATGACTTCTGCTACAGTCCCACCCATTCTCGACAGTGAAAAAGAAAAACAGCCTAATGACTTAGATATTGTAGCTCTTTCCATGACAGACGGTGCACTAGCATTCATTCAACAGGTGAGATAGTTGAAGCTAATCACACACAGACCATCTGTGCACAGGATGCATTCAAACACTTCAACATACAAACTCTGGATTTTTCTAATAATCAGATACAAACAGTTAACGTCAACGCTTTTCGGGGACTGGAGGTGAGATATTATCGATGAATATTTGTGAATAGATTATTTCAGATGAAGCTGACCATGCTTAACTTGAAGCATAATAACCTTTCCGTCATACCAGCCTGGGCTTTGACATATTTACATCAGCTTCAGTTTTTGCATTTAGAAAACAATCGTATCACTCACGTTAGGCCCAACACTTTTGACGAAACACAGTTAAACAGTTTACAATTTCTCCACCTCGATCATAACAAGGTAAAAACTATCAGTATTCAAGATGAGGACCTTAAAACTTCAGCTCAAAATAATCCCGAATTTATCCTTCCAACGATTACGACTCATAGTTCTGACATTAGCGAATAATCGAATTTTGGAGATAGAAAAGATGTCTTTGCCTCCAACACTCAGTTTTCTAGATCTTAGGAATAACTTATTGACCGGAGTGAGTTGAATGTGCTCTTCCAAATCAACTCAGTGCTTCTCAGATTCCTTTCTTAGCATTGAAAGATTTGGGTGATTTACAAACCATCAACATAGAAGGTAACAACATCACCCTGTTGGGGTTCCACCAAGAAGTGCAGTTTAAAAACGAAATAAACGTTATTTTACGGAACAATAAAATACGATGGCTCGACGAGAATTCTTTCCGTAGTTTTCGGAAAATGAAAGAATTAGACCTTAGCTATAACCAGGTCGGTAATAAAAATAACGGCGTTCTCAACATAAAATTTAGATAGAAAGGATACATCAGAGTTCTTTCGAGACCGTTTCTACTATCAGGAACCTGGATCTTAGCTACAACCAGATTGCATACATACCTCATGGCACATTTAAAAACTTTGCCAAAAATATGGAGAAACTAAACTTAGAGGAGAACATAATTCACACTCTACCAGACGCTTTGAGAGATTTACATAGTTTAAGTCATTTAAACTTGAACGGCAACAAACTGAACAAGTTTGATCATAAATTAGTAAACGAAAATATCAAAATGTTTAGATTGGACCCAAATTCCCTACATGGAGTGAAGAAAACGATCACCGAGCTTCTTCTAGCTTACAACCAATTGAAAGAAATACCAACAGCAGTAAGTTAAGATTATGTGAAAATAGCTCATATTAAATTCAATTGAAGCTATTGAATGGAATGGAGAAACTGCAGCACCTCGACTTATCGAAAAATAAAATTGAAAGTATTGAAAAACTAGCGTTTGGTACTTTTGATGGTACTGGCACTAGCCTGATAATACTCAATCTTGCTGGAAACAATATCAGAAACATTTCCGATCCTGGAGTCTTTTTGTATATGAGCACATTAGCTTATCTGGACCTATCTTACAACTCGATTGAGCATCTCGGACCAAAAGCTTTCGAAAAGTTGCCAGGGCTAGAGAAGCTGTTTTTACAAAACAACAAACTAAAAAACTTCCCATTGTCTGCATTATACAATATGCACAAGCTCCGGCATCTTGTTTTAGACAACAACAAAATCAACCATCTTCCTGCTTATGCATTGGGAGATGTGCAAAAGTTAGAACATTTGTCGTTAGCGCACAATATCATCTCAAGGATAGACGAAAAGATGTTTCATTCTAGTAGTACCAGGGAACTGAAGTCATTGAACCTTGCTAACAACAAAATAGAACATATCAGCTCTGAAGCGTTCGCAAACTTAGAAAACTTGCAATATCTTAGGCTATCGAACAACAGGATTAGAATTTTGCCCCAGAGAGTAAGTCTCACAGCAAAATTGATATTAATAATTATTAATTTCAGTGTTTTACACGACTCAAGAACTTGAGACTACTAGATCTGTCGGAGAACAGATTGATCAGAACAACTCAATATGCTTTTACTAATCTTCCATCTATCGAACACATCCTACTGCATCATAATGCAATTGATACATTGGAAAAAAACAGTTTCCATTTGATCCCCAAAATAGATGGACTTCAGCTGAACAAGAACAAGCTGCGCAAAATCAACTGCGAGTTTCTTGGTAGTGTGAATAGCATGTCCTCTTTGGACTTATCTCACAATAATATTAATCAGTACGTGTGAAAAAAAAAGAGAGAAATCTACATACTGTTGTTTCAGGTTCGAACTTAGCTGTGTAAAACGTAATTTACTGAGCTTGAACTTGGCATATAACAACTTGCAAAGTGTGAAGAAAGAAATGATGGAAGATTTTGAAGAATTAACAGAGTTATCTCTGAGTCATAATGGTATCTTAGAGATACAAGCTACTGCACTACAAAACTGTCCCAAACTCAACATAATTGACTTCTCCCATAATCATATCCGAACAATTTGGAAGAATACATTTGCAAGCCAGGTATCGGTCATACATACAAATTAATATATGATTGAACTTATAGAAGATGATTGGTAAACTCGATTTGAGTAGTAACGCTTTGATAGCCTTGCAGAGAGGGTTCCTAGGGAAACAAAACATTCTTCATATTAATTTAGCGCACAATGCTTTTAATAGAGTACCCATAGAAGCTCTCGAAACATCTTCTGCCAGCCTCTCCTCACTGAACATGGATCACAACCAAATAAAGACTGTGGATTCCCCTCAATTAGTAGGGTTGAAAAACATATCAACCTTATCATTATCCAACAATCAAATCGATTCAATAGAAGAAGCAGCATTCGAACATCTGACAAGTCTTCAGAACTTAGATATCAGCCATAACCCTGTCACCTCGTGGAGTCCAACAGCTTTTAAGGCATAGTTTGAATTTCAATACATAATACCATAATTGTTTAGGACTTGAGCCACTTCATAGTCAGTATCAACTTAGCTGATACAGGGCTGTTCTCTATTCCAAAACTGAATCATAGATCAATTAGGAACATGAACATTAGCCAGTAGGTTTTAACAGGAAAACTTTTTCATTATCATTTCAGTAACAAAATATACGAGCTGAAACCTAAAGATCTGGCAGCTGTATCAAAAGTTACCACTTTGGATATATCAAACAACAACTTGAAAACAATAGACCCTTCGACATTCGAAGATTTGGCCGACTTGAAAGATTTGAACATTAGTAATAACCAAATAACCCATATACAGGAAGATCATTTGAGATACCTTTATCAGGTACAAAGAATACGAAGAAAGATAACATTCCATAACACTCTTAATCTTCAGTTAGAAAGTTTATGTATGGAAAACATGAACTCCTTGATACGCCTTCCTGAGCCATATGCATTTGCTCATTTAACGAATTTGAAACATTTAAGGGTGAGCGAATAATATAAAGGGAAAAATTCATCCAAATCTTACAGCTTACGGGGATACCGGACGAAGCAACTCCATACAATATTTCTCAAATAATGCAACATCTAACCCCATTATCATCATTGCACATCGAGATCAAAGAACCAGTTTTGAACACCCAATTATATTATATAGACAAACGACTATTGAGAGATCTACAAATTATAGGTAAAAACTTAACTAGGGTAAGCATAGAGAGACATTATAAGTATTACATAGCGTTTTTAGATAGAAGTGGGTGCTTTCCATGGGATTCGCGGGTACAAGTTCTATTTAAGTATTCAAAACACTTCCATTGAAAGTTTCCCATCTGGAATCTTCAATACTCTAACAAGCGTTCATTATCTCGCTTTATCGTTAGCGAATAACAGGTTAAATACACTAGAACCATTCAAACATTCTTTGCCCCCAGCGATCAACCAACATGGAACGATACTACAGTATCTCTCTATCCAGGTACTGGTTTTTTCATAAAGGTACAACTTGAGATAAGCAAACTGCAGAATAATCTATTTGAATGTGACTGCTCGTTAGCTTGGTTGGCTGAATGGATCGATCAAAAACCTGACCATCACAAAGAGCTGGACACAATCTTTTGTAAAAATCGGAAGATCTCCCTCTATGAGTTTTATAACCATAACGCTCATCACATCACCTGCGATACTATTACTAAGAGCTTTCACGCGTTACAAAACGTTTCAGTTAAAGCTCTATTTCTCATTTTGATTTTTCAATTATTGTAGATAAGAATAAAAACGTACCACATCAAGCTCTTGATATCTATGTTCTCCAAAAGTGATGAATTCTGACATAATTCGTCCATTCTTTCGACCATATCCTCACCATTGCCTTAACAGAACCATGTTAAGAGTTAAGTTATTATTTCAACTTACCAACTGTTTCACATAAAGATCGGAAACAAAGTTGAATGAACAACTGCATCTCGTCAGCTCTACATCCCACCAAAAATCGGAAAATAATTGTTCTACGGTTCTTACCAAGCCTCTTGGTAGCTTTACGTTTGAGACAACCAAGTAAAATTCTATAAGCAGAGCCATATGGATGCGTATTCTGATGATGTATGTTACCTTATAAGAACTGGCATAACTGATTCACGGTGTTCTGCGGAGAGAGCTGCATCACCTTCATCTTCACTTATTTTGAATTCATAAATTTTAGATTTGAACGTTTTCATATCAACAAGACCATTCAGAGCGTCTCTGGAAACATTTTAGTATAATCGTTCACACTGTAAAACAAACCTGTAGGGTGTTAGACTTTTGTCTTTATACGACATCAAGGCATCTAACGCTTTTGGTAACATCATCTCTGAGCCTGATATGAGAATCTGTAAAACAAAGTTAGAAGGGAACAATTCTCCTATAAAACACCTCGAGATATATTTCTCGGATTTCTTTTCCACGATTAATTGATTTGGGATCATTAAATTTGCTATAGAGTTCCATGAACGCACATAGAATCTTAAATATAAAACTTCGAAAGGTGCGCTTGTAGGCCTCAGACCGTTGATATTTCTCTGAATTCGAACTTCAAGCTTGAAAGCGTTTTCTCGAGGCTGGGTTCATTATCTTCATCATCTTCTTCCTCTTCTTCTTCGTCACTAACTTTATTAAAACGGAGATAGTCTTTTCTGAAATTAGAAAGAGTAGTATGAACTAACTAAATCTGGTTTTACTCGTATATCTCAATGAACAGCGGACTGATAACTCGCGTTCTCCTTTGGATCAATTGAGGTATTTTGGCAAAGAACTTGATCAGTTGAACTCTGACCGCCAAATAATCTCTACGATTCTGCTCGTCTACACCAGGCAAAATGGCTTCGAAACACTTTTCCATTAGGGCTGACTGCTCTTCAGAACGACAAACTCAAATGAAATTGTAATGCATAACGCTCAACTATAGAAAAACCTTGGAAGACGTTCAGTAATATATCTTCTGTAATCCTCCAGAATTCTTCAAACTTCATTCCAACCGCAAAAGAGGAAAGAAGCTCATGCATACCCGGCCAGAGTAACGTGAAAGAGACGAAGAATTGTGAATATGCTACACGCAGTATTATCTGGAGAATATCTCAATTTATATCAGTTCTGTTTGGAAAAATACCTCTTCGTATGTAGACGATATCTCGGGTATAACATAATTTCTATGAGCACCGAATAAAATTAATCTGAAGAGACGAAGACGTTCTCGACAATCGATTAGAGCAACATTCTCTACTTTTTTCAGTATAGAGAAAGCACCTTCGAAGCCCTAAATACAATATGAGAATTATTTACAAAACTCGTTTTACCTCGCTTCTGATATCACTAGTAATTTGTTCTTCACAATATGACAACATATCAAGAATTGCCAGTCTTTGCTTTGCATTAGGACTGAACAACACAGGCAAGTAAAGATCCGAAGTTCTAAAGTTAAAGATGAGTACGAAAAATACAACTGTATAATACCTTTTCAAATCCTCAATATCAAGTTTCTGATTGGATGCTTTAAGGAATAGTAGGTGTAGTAGAGTGGACGATGGTAACGCGTTATGATTCCTATAAATGAAACAATCATCCTGGTTTTCAAAAAGACGAGTGAATAGATTTTTTTAGTTTTCGTTGATGAAAAAAATTCGAAGTTGAACTAACCTTACGAACGCCTCAACTTCGTTAAGTGGAATTTTCTGTAGCGACTCCTTTTCAACCAAATACAATGTATATCCGACAATGAGAGTTGCTTGGGACCCTTTCTGGGAACCTTCTTTCAGGCACAGAAGATATTTCAAATATTCAACAACATGGCTCACTCCTAGAGTATTAATATAGTAAAGTATTAATGAATGACGAATTTTCACAAACCTTCAACTGGTTGCAATTCGGAATAGAACCAAGGCCAAACTTGGACGATCAAGCTTGCCAGTGTTATATCGTACTTTTTGAGATTAGGTAAAGTTGAAACAATATAAGCTTTAAGATCCTTTTGGGTGCTGACATTGAAAAACGGTTTTCTTTCTTGAAAAAAAAATATAAAAATGTAAAACATTTTCGTATTACCTCCAGGTATATATGATAACAAGGGTTTTCTCGCGGCACAAACAGTGGCAAAGAGATTGATGGTATTTTTCAAAGCTTCTTCATTCTGAAAAGATATTGAGAGGTGCTTTAACGATTTCCCACTTACGTCAGTTCGTATGGCAGTTTCCACAAGAGATGATATAGATGGTAAGATGCTAAAGTCATATACGCTAATAACACTACAGAGACGTAACAAATGGAAAATCTAAATACTTGAGTTCATAATGATCTTAGAGAAAAACCAACATCAGACACTTGCGTTTCTTTGAAACGCTCGATGATAATTTGGAAGAAATCTTTACAAGAGGATATCCATTTAGTGTTTTCCAAACAAACAGTCAACGCCTAATATAATGGTTAAAAAAACACAATTCGTGAACTAACTAGATGTAGGAAATTGATTGACTGTTCGTCCAATGTGAAATGATCAGCTACAATCAAACTTTTGATTAAGTTGTATAGCCTCTCGACATTCGATAGAGAAGTGATGTTACTATTCTGAACTATAAGCAACGAGAAAAGACCCAAAAGTTCAGATGTTTCAACCACACTTTGGTTCGCTTCCAAAAGAGTCTAGAAACTTTTCGTATTCGTTAAAAAGGAAAACACACGTACAAATAGCACATTCTGGATTGGATTTAAATCAGTTCTTTTTTTTGCGACATAAGTAGTAGTCAGTTGTAACATTTCGTTCAGGATTTTTAATCCTGTTTCTCTTACGGAGTCAGCAGTTTTGAAAACACCAAATATGATATCCCTTAATGACTGAAAAGATATATACATATAAACAACATGAGATATTAACAAACCTCAAATGTAGTACTCTGGAACCCTCCGGAGATACCACGGAAAGTTTGAAAAAACAACATAGATACACCTAGTGTTAACTGTGGTAGATTTATCTAAAGCTCAAGAATTAAAATGAAACTGATTATGATGAATAACCTTCTCAGCTTGCTCAACTATGAACTTCGTAAGCTCTGGCAAGTTGTTGGTTTTTCTGAGTAAGAAGGCAAAAGCTTGTGAGACAAAACGTCGTACATAATAACGAAAACTTCCTAACATTGGAACGAAGCAACTGAAATAGGATCAACACTGAGGAAAACAATAAGAGACCAAACCTAAAAGATTTCTTCATTGTTTTTAACAGTGATTTACTCATCACTTTTACAAGTGACGTGAGAGCATAGAAACCGGCTTCGACAGTATCCTTATCTTGAAGTCCCTCATCTGAAAGATAGGTATAACACTGCTAAACGAGAATCTATCATACTCAGAACAAAAGATATACAATCTACAGCTTCCCAAATGTATTCATTGAAATCTTGTCTCAAATCTTTAGCTAGAGCAGTTAGCATCTCGCAAAAAGCTTGAGCCGATTTAGATTTCTGAAGAAATTTTGTACGAAATCAAAATGACTTGAATACCTCTATTTTCAAAGAACGAAAGAGACAAGTTATTATAGTTTTACTGTGAAATAAAAGTTGTGCGTATGTATCGAGTTCATCCGAGGGCAGTTCATTGGAAAAATTTACTAAACGAAAGAAATTGGGAAAATTACACTTAAATTCGTACCGAAATCAGCTCCATGATCGGCATCATTCCATTTCGTCAGAGCTTCAGTGAAATATGTTCCGTTGTCGTCTCTGTTCAACCTATATCTACGACTGAATTTATCGGAGTCCGATCCTATTTGCTCAACCAGCTTATTGAAAGGAATAAACTGTGAATATGTTAAGGTCAAAACCTAATCTTTCAATGTAGCCTACCCGCCTGACTTTCACCCTTTTCTCTTCCACGAAGTTTTCTTCATCTTCGTAGTTCTCGTCGTCGCTCATACCTAAAAAAATTAGCTTGAACTAACTAGTTATCTATAAATGTATATTTTTTCCTATGAATTCTTAAATAATATAGTGATTTAAATAATTCGAATTGTTTCGCTGCGCGCTCAAGTTAAAATTGATACGCAACAAGCTCACAGACGTTTGAATAAAAATAGTTAAACACTGAACTCAATAATTTTTCCAATGAAGTCTGGCTAGCGGTTGTTCTCCATGAGATTGTGTTACATGGCCAACTACTTTAATTTTTCTATCTTTGTATTGATTTGGAGCCATGAATCATAAATGTTACATTACTAAATATATTTTTTTATATTTTTTCTCGTTAGGATAACACTTCCACACAATCTTCATGCTTCTGTATGCTAATTAAAGCTTCTTCTCCAATGTTCGCTCCAATTAAGAATACTCACTGACTTTGTTTGAATTTCACGCTAAATTGCTAGTTTTTCTTAAGGTATGGATGAAACAGCAGCAATTGCTCAGCCGTATATTCAGCAGTATGAAGCCTTTTATAGAGAAGTTTGTGTGTACCCCTTTCTTTTTGCATCTTCAAATTTCAGATAAATCCTGGAGGATCACCTTGTATTGGAAGTGCAGATGCTGCTGGGTTTTTGAGAAGATCTAATCTTAATCATGCTATCCTCGGCCGGGTATTTTTTTTGAGTTCATTTTTTTTACGCTTTATAACTCTGCAGATTTGGGAGATTAGTGATTATCAGAAAAGAGGATACCTCGATAAACGTGGTTTTTATATGGCTTTGAAGCTTATCGCTGCAGCTCAGCAAGGTGTGCATTATTTTAACTTCGAAAATGACTGTTCATTCGAGGTCATCCGGTACAACCTCAATCAGTGTACCTTACTGGCTTAGCTCCACCTACCATGGTTCCTTCACAAGCTTCGCCTGCTATGTCTTCCTCTAACTCGCCATCAACAGCTCCTGCTAGTTATAATTGGGCTATTAATACCCAAGATCAAGTAATTCATACAATATCAGTCGGTTTTAGATTTCTTTTTAGGCGAAATACGATGCCATTTTTGATTCATTAACTCCTGTAGATGGCAAGTTACCCGGAGTTAAAGTAATTTTTTTTCTGAAAGTTTCGAATACCACCTAAATATTAGGTCAGACCAGTTCTTTTAAACTCGGGATTGAATCCAGCTAGCTTGGCTAAGATCTGGGAATTGGCAGATCAAGATAAGGATGGTCAATTAGATAGAGTCGAGATGTCAGTTGCTTTGCATCTTGTATACAGGTAAGGTTTCATGAAAAAAAAATACTCAGAAAGTTATAGAGCTCTCCAAAATGAGCCAGTACCTGGTGCCTTGCCTTCTAATCTTATTCATCCATCTAAAGCTCACATAAGCCGTCGAAGTTCTTTGGCTTCTCAAGGAGATTTTTATCCTTCAACTAATCTTGCTGGTATCAATGGTATGCCTTGATCCTCTCTACTATTGTTAACTCTTTACGAATCAAGCTCGTTCTCGTGCTGGCAGCATGGCATCACTGGATGGTATTGCTATGTCAACACCTTCTATTCCCCAACAAGAAAGGAGCATGTCTGCTCAACCAATGTCAATGAGAAATGGAAGTGCTGTAAGACTTTTACTATTCTCTTAATGTTTGAAGAACTAGGCATAGTAATCTTTCTATGCTATAACGTTGCTTAGCGTTAGTGCTACATAGAGATCGATATATACTTGCCTAAGGCCCTTGTTCCGCCTCTCAGATGTTGGTCGGCGAATATTCGATGCGCAACCAGCCTTTATTGGAATTTTCGGGACCTCTGAAGGCTATTATGCATTTGGCTGTCCAATTTAGAGAAATATAAGAGGACAAGATTGCCATCGCAATATAAGCTGAAAACATAACGCTTCATGAAAAAAAATGAGAGTAACCAATTTCATAAATTTTAGACAGCTACACCTGTTCACGGCGCTCCTCCGGTTCCTCCACCTCCTAGCGCAGCTTCTATTTCTGCAGCTCATTGGCCTGTGAATCCACACGTCTTTGCGGCTCAGTTTGCTGCTTGTGATTCTGACAGTGATGGATTGGTTAACGGAATGGATGTTCGGCAAATTCTTATGGCATCAGGTTCGTTATCAAGTTGAACTGGAAGTAAACATAATTTGTAGGGCTTCCTCAACAGCTTTTAGCCAAGATTTGGGAGTTGGTAGATATTCAGAGAAATGGTACGCTGAAACTAGAACAATTCGCATTAGCGTAAGCAAGAGTATTATATATCTTTTTTTTCAAATATTTCTTTTACAGTATGTATCTGATTAACAAAGCAAAACAAGGAGAAGATCTCCCTGCCGCTCTCCCAGAGCAGCTCGTTCCTCCATCGTTCCGAGCTGTTAATCCACCTGTGCGTAATTCACTTCAATTGCTGAAAAATCTCTTTGTTTTCAGGAAACCCCTGAAGAGCACATCCCTCCATCCGTCAGCAATATGTCTTTGGGAACTGCTGCGCAAAGTGATAACCCTGAAGTTCGACAACTTGCTGAAGACATGGAAGGCTTGTTAAAAGAAAAAAGGTAAAGCTAACCTGTACAGTTTTTAACCGGTAGTTATTCAGAGATGCTGAAGAAGCTGTGGCACAATTAGAAGCTGATATGATTGTCAAAAATAGTGTTATTAAAAACCTACAGGTTTTTTATCGACCAATGTAGAAAAACTAAGGCAAACTATTCAGATTGAGTTACAAACTCTTGAAAGCACTGTTAAACAGTTAGATCGGCAGAAAGGGGAGGCTGGCAGACGTTTGGCAGATTTAGATGACCAAATCAAACAGTTAGAGTCAGCTGGAGCAGCACAGTCCGCTAAAGGAGCAGAAACAGCAACTCGTTTGGAGCAATTAAAAATCGACGCTGTTGAGGGTGTGGAAAGCACTGAAGTAAGAAGAAGTATTTTAGAAAATGACATTGCTAACCTGTATTGTTCCAGAGAGATCAAGCTGCAATTCAAAAAACAAAGGGTGAGCTACAACAATTGGAACTTGAGGGCAGAGAATTATCTTCACATATATCCGCAGATCAGCAAGTTAGGGAGCAAATAGTTGATGATTTCACAAAGGTGTATATTTCTTCATGATGTGCTCACAATATCAAAATCATTAGATTGAACGTGAATTCGATAGAAGTAATACACAGGTCGAAGCTCTCAAACAGGAAATCGAAAAAGTTACTGGATTAACATCTGAACTTGAAGTACTGTGCTTTCTTACCTTTAGTTCTATCGACAAAGTTTTTTTACAGAGCGTTCTGAATGATCCTGAAGCGACAGAAAAAATGCGAACAAAAATCCATTTACTCTCAGCTGTTGAGCGTCAAGATCTGGTATTATTAAAGCTGTCGTACTCCATAAAACGTACCATTTCAGTTCAATGATAACTCTCCTATTGCTTCGACATCCACCAGTTCTGCTTTCGCTCAGCCACCAGATCCTTTCGCCGGACATCAAAGTGGTACTCAGAAATACTAATTCATTGCTTACATAACATTCTTCCAGGAATGGCCAATGTTGATCCTTTCTCTCAAGATCCTTTTGCTTCTGCTCCTGGAAATAATAGCTTTGGAACTTTTGGTAATGACCCTTTCAGTTCACAAAATGGTGCTCCGAACCAGGTATATCTCTGAACTCAACAATGAATTAATACCTTCTTAAGAACAATGCTGCTAAAAGTGTTCCTCCACCTCGTCCAGCTCCTCCGAAGTCTCGACAGACTCCAGTCAATGACGATCCTTTCTCGAATGTGTAAGTTTGTCAGAGCTCCACCTATACCAACATTCCAAATATTGCAGCGATCCTTTTGCGGGACAGACTAACCAAAGTAATGTTGGTGGATTCGCTGACTTTGCTAACTTTGGTGCATTCAATTGATCTTCCACTTCCTCCTAGTTACTTAATGCCATGATAACGTAGCTCATTAACGTATTGACCAGTGCTTGTAAGATTTTTTAGCATAAATACCCTTTTTGACATTTTCACATTCCTAGAGAAGAATATACTTGTATTCATAATTGTCAGAGAACGGAGCTTCATCCGTGCAATAATCTACAAAACAGTTTATATTTATTACAATTTAGTAATTTTATAGTTTTTTAATAAATATGAATAAGAAAAATGTTCGAAAGTGCAAATTTGTCTAGAATGCAACCGCTCCATACAAAACTGTATTATGAAATGGATTAGAAACCCAATACATAATAAAACAAGTGATTTCAGGAAAATTCGGGAATAGGTAATTGTAGTATAAAGAACAATTCAATTCATAAAAAGATCGATAATAATAGTTGTTATTTATAGAGTTTATAGCATATAAGGCTGGTTAAATGACTACATGTTTTTCGTACGAATAACGATGGGTCTGCATGAGACGCACCAGATATTTGACGGTCCGAAGAAGAATTTGCTTCACTTCGTTTCTATATGCATCATTCACTAATATGAGGCTGAAGGCTGTAGCGATTCCATTGCATTCGCAAATCAAAAAAAGTATAGCACATGAGACTGTAAAAGAAAACATCATGATAAATGAACCGTGAGAGATTTATACATCCTGTCCAAGCGAATTGAAACGTATATGCTACGATACAAATTGTCATAATGAGAGTAATAAGAATGAATGGGATACTTGCCTAATGATATTCCTATATGTTAGGGCACAACTGAGACATACCTGTAGAGTCAGAGTGAGCAGCAAATTCATCTGCATTTTTCTGGTTCGTATCGACATACAGCTGTGAGTATCACAGAACTTGAATATAAATAAGGCCATGTACACTAAACTTATGCTGTAAAGCACGAATTGTAGCACAAAAATTGCTGGTATCAGTCGATTTTTCATGAGATATGGTGAAAGAAGAACTAAGCGATCTTCTGAACAGTCCCATTCCTCTAACTCAGGACATTGCTAGAACAGATGAGTATTATCGCGCTTACACGAATGATTTAATCGAAACTAACCTTAACAAGTTCTTCTCGAGTAAACACTTTTTCACCTTCGGAGTTACTCCCAGCTCCAATAACGCAATAAAGAGAGCATGCTCCAACAAAAAACAAGAAACAGTACGATTTGAATCGAACTGATGTTGGATCAATTTTGTTGAGCACAGCATGACGATAAATGAACAAAATTAGGATGATAGCTCCGAAAGCTACATGTAAGCCAACATCGAGTAATATTTGAGTGTACAAAGGAATATTCATATAATTGAGCAAGCCACGAGAAGAAGCTATTGGCCCGGGGTATAATATGACAGGAACCTGGAAGCAAATTTTTCTCTGCTTGAAAAAAAGTTTTAAAAGCTACCACTAAAATGGAAGCAGAAATAGTAGCAACACTGCTGGATATCTGATAAGCCAGTAAATACCATTTAAATTGTCGAAATGATGCGGGAGAGTATTTCACTATCAAAAAAACAGCATACAATCCAGTGAAAATAGTCAAGAACCCAATGGAAAAGGAAGATTTAGTGTACCAACTGGGTGGGATAGAAGATAGGTTAGGACATATCAGTTCCATTTCACTGGTCATGTTTCTAGAGTCGAGATTGTTTTAATCTGCTGCGAATTAACTTGTCCTTCCAAGTGGAGCCATGACGTTGCGGACAAGAGTTTGTAGGAAATGTTGAAAGTTCAATTGTTCTATGCTTCTACACTTTCAAAACATATCAATGAAGCGATCAGTAACTACGAAGATGGGATTAGTTTTGAGATTCATACCTTGTGTACAATCCGCGAGCTCTTGAAACGCAGAGGCGGTTTGGAAATTTGAACATATTGGAACAAAATCGAAATATGGCCTGTTGGAAACTTTCTTTAAAGTTTGAAAAATCTACCTCAAAACGAAATTTTTATCATTTCGATGTATGGTTATTGTACTGGAACAGATTTTCGTCTCCTGTTGTAGTTGAAAGATTAAGAGAATCTAAGTAAGTCTATTTGTCTGAGAATTTCTGGAAACGTTTAGGTAAACGTAGTTCAGACAGAAATGAGATTGTGGTTTGAACTCTTCGAATGATACTGTAAATTACAAGACCAATTTGATACTAACTGTCCTTTACTGGTGTGAATAGTAGACACAACTGCACGATCTCGCTCTTTGAAAAAAAAATGAAAGTTGTGTGTTTTGATTCTTGAAGCATCCCTTTATCTCGAAAACTGGGTGAGTATTTGATAACCGAAAAGCAGTTAAATCCAATCAGAAAATGAAAACTGTTCTAATTCAATAAACTTTGAGCATAGGTATATTTATTATTTTCATAGTTTAGAGCAATCATATTATTTACATTGACAATCAGTCGACTTCATGCATTTTGGAGTCGGTTGGCCGATGCGGATAGGTGGCTTATTACACGATATCATAGTTACCAGTTGCGTGTTGAGTAGAGCTGAATGACACAATTTTTTTAATTTGCATCTGAAATGTACCTATTTCGTTCTTAGTTTCTCTTGAAAATTTTGAAATGAAATCTTGGGTAAGTGAGTACAGTCTGTCGCATCTCTCAGATTTTCCATTCTTAAATATAATTATTTGCTAAATCTTTAGGCTTTCTAACTTCATAAGGCCATGCGATCATCAATGCTGCTACTGCACCATTTTGGAAAATTTTAGAAATCTTCGTATTTCTTATTTCTTCGCAAACTATGCGACAAGCTTCAGAAAAGTTCTCAGTGCAGCACTTTGTTTCGGACTGAATGTGTCAGTTTAGATTATCTTCCCTATTCCTTCTCCCGCACCTCTTGTTTTTTAGTTTTGGCACGTTCCTCTTCTTCTTCCAAACATTTTCTAGACCAGCAGAGAGCATGAGGGGAGAAATATTGAGCGAATCGACGACATGAAAAATAGAGTTCTTCTTCTTCTTTCGGCAATGTTTTCTCCAGAAGGAAGGCGTTCCAGGATAGTACGGAATCAGCAAACTAAAAAACAAATTACAGAAACATCGCAACGTTAAGAACCTCTGGGTCGTTACAGCTCAAGTTACACTTGATGCCAAACATCACTAAGGGTCTTGAATCAGTTTGAAGCTTCAGCAAACTGTACCCTAGATATTAATTTTTGCCACAAAAATAGAAAGACACTAACCTCTTGTTTTTTTGGTAGACGTATCTACTGAGCACATTGACTTCTGTAATATACGTAAAGGAACCCAATGAGGTGGGTATTTGAATCGAGCAACGTCCATTATGAGAACACTGTCCGTTACGGAATTGTAAGCTCCTAGCGGAGAAAAATGTCCTAATACAATTGGTAACGGATGCTGACTACTATCATAACGCACCACTACCAGTTTGACCGAGAACTGATCTATCGTAAGCGGCGACTAACACAGAATCATCACTCCTCACGCTGTTAATTAAATCTTCTCGTAACTGATTCAAAAACTCTGAATGTAAGTTTGCAATATGATGAGTGACTGAAATGTACCTTCTGATTCATCAGCGTGATATATGAATGTTTGCAATCGATTACATACTGCTAAGCAATTGAATTGGATAAGATTGATTCCAGATCTTAAAAAATATAGATGGATATTAGTTAAATTTCAACAGTACATTTTGACTTTTTCCAGTGGAACACAGCAATCGAGCATTGATTCGTGATAAAACCTCCAAGGAGCTTTCCAAACACGTTCTGGGTCGACCTCCAGAGCATTCAACACCATCACTTGAAAAAACGTAATCAATTTTCAGTAAGATTTTCGGCCAGAAGCAACCAATGTGCTACATGGATCTCGAAATGAGACTCTTTCGTTTACTCTTAATCGGACGATACCTAATGTGCTTAATCCACAATATGCTGGCTCATCTTGCGTTTTGAATTGAGAAGCGAGTTTAAAATATATTTCCGCGTTTCCTGAAATTACAACGAATATGTGATGTTGCTTACAAACGTTTATACTGCACCTTCTATAAGAGCCTCTTTGAAAAAGGTTTTGCCTTGAACACTTGAAAAATCGACACAGGTGTCAGGTAAAGAACGACGATAAAAGTTCTTAGCAGTTACGGACATGATAAAAAAACATTAATAATTCAGATGAACTGTGCTCAAAAACAGAAATTTCACAAATGTTAAGTTGCCTGTACGACAATCAGATATTCCTAGACGTTTGAACCAATGTCTTTTTCTAGAAAGTAAACAGATTAGCAATGTCAATATGGGTTATAAAATAGAAGTGAATCATATAAACTATTTCAGCTCTGATGTCATAGCAGAGTCAACAGCTGTCCAGGTTCAATCTCATTTGAAAAAAAGCAATAAAAATATTAAACGAGTGACACAATCATCAGATTGTATATTTTAATCCGCTCTCTTTTCAAAAGAATATTAAAAGCTGCCTTTCGCCTTATTGCTCATGGCCACAATATAACTCGATAAATATTGTAAATGACACGACGTCTAACACATAGGGTGAGAGATTTGGAAGTTTATATTATTTATTATCATCACATTTGGAATGCTATAATGAAGCTGATATAACAGATTAATAGTTCCTATGAAAGTGATATTTAGGATTAAATAAAAACCACACGTATTTCAAATCGCAGACTATTCGAAGAAAGTTGGTTGCAAAGAAGTAAACCTTGGAAAAGTAGATGCAAAACTCGTTTTTCAACTAAGATGAAGCTCAAATTAGGTATAATCTTGGCAGGTTATTTAAAAAGTATGAACGACTATCTCTGAAACGCCACCGATCATGGTTATACCCCACTTCCACCAATTAACAGAAGCGCCAGGTGTTTTTCGACGAGCAGCAATTACTTGTCGAAGTTGCTTTATTGTATCGGAGTCTTGATGTTTACCTGAAACATCATTCAAGTGCTGATTTCCCATTAAAAACAAAAATACCATGAGCATGATGAGAAGCAACAGCCATCTCTACATTCCTGGTTACAGATGGATCGCCAGGGATACCACTCTCCTTTAATGAAATCATGAAACAGTCATGAAAGTGAAACTTACGTTCTCCAGAAGGATCCAGAACCGTCTGACATCTGGCTTTTCGGCTCCATAAGTGAGGAAAACAAAGTATGTGGTTCGTCTTCCGAATTCATCCAAGTCAATATCAGTGAAAGACCATTTGGCAAATGTGTATCCACTCAAGGGAGTGACGTGCAAAGACATCTTATCATATCCACCACGTAGCTAAAAAATGGGTTTGAAAAGTTGGAGTGTATTAATTTATCTAGCTTCGAATGTCAAACAATTTGGATTTTTACTCCTTGACCATGTAAGAAGCGATTAGTCTTTGAAGATCATGTTAAGAGTGATGAAAAACTTACTTCGAAAGAAACGTTCAAATAATTATTTCCGACAGGAACTTTCTCTACTAGCTTCAGATCGATGGGGTAAGGAATTATAGCATGATTAGGAACAGGAACCCAGAAAGACTTGCTGAACTTGAATATTTGAAAAAGGTAAGTTTGTTCGTTCACCTTGGAGGGAAAAGTTCATGAATAGCAGTATAGTAAGGAAGTCGGCAGTATTCGTCAACGATTCCTGTGCAGTTTGGAACAGTGTTTGATTGTAAGAAGGAATGAGATGGTAAATCAATAGTGTTACTTCAATGTGTATAATTGAATATATGCGAATCATGCGAAATGGTTACCGGTAATCCAAACTTTGTACAAACAATGCATTGTCCTTTTGCACGATTTGACCATCATAATCATAAATCGTTCGGTTGGTGTGCTGCAAGAATATACTATAAAGAACTAATAGGAACCTGAACAACCAAAGCTATAATTCTACGAAGACGAGGGTTCTCATGGGAATATTCATAAGGAACACCAAGGCGAGTCGTCAGCAGAACAACCACGAAGAAAATGAAAATGGCAATGAACATGCGTGCAACATAGTTCATTCGGCGAGAGATGTAAAAAAGGTTATTCTGAAAATTCAATTCACACCTGACACTACAACAAGTAATGTTACCACAAAGAGTACCAAGCTTGATGCTATGACCAATCCAATAGGTCCCATCACAAATTCTGGATTAACCGCATCCCCCAAACGTCCCATAACAGGTACGAAGAAATCCACACACTGACTGATAGCATATACAGCAAAGACAATAACAGGAATGAAGCAGAAGAGTTGTGAGTACAGGAGCACCTTCGGAGTCACTCCTGAATCAAAGCGCGGTATCTTATACGCTCATGTAATAAATTTTTACTCACTCTTAACAGCACCCAAAGCGCCAAGAAGGTAGATCAGTGGGTCTTTTAGAAGAGGGAAAAGAAGGTAGTTGAAAACAAAGAACGACGATGCCAAGTTGAAATAAGTCATCAATCCAAGTATAGCAGCAAACGAAACAAGAATACTGTCATACTGTGTCATTTCCGCGTTGTGCATCTAAAAAGTTATATGAGCAAAACTGCACTGGGCATTACTTTGTTGTTATCCGCATAGTAAGAGTGAACAACAATTCCTGCTGTTAGAACTGGAAGAACATAAAGAAGCCCAACCAATTCAGGCATTTTGTACCTAGGTAGTTCAAATTAGAGACTAATATCATAATAGATGATACCAGCACATGACGAGGTCTAAAATAGTGACGGCTACCATGATTGCTAGCATAGTTGCAGCCATTGCCCACAACGCAACAAGATGATGATAGAAAGCTTGTCTCATATCATAAAATGAGTAGTATCCGCGTTTTGTGCGGTAAAGGACGAGAAGTAGAACTAGCAGACATCCACCGTAGTTCAAAAACTGTCCTGTAATTGTACAAGTTCAGAGTGGATTACCTCATACTTCAAGTACCTGTAGTTACAGAATAATATACAGTGAAGAGGCCAACGACATCGTAGAACACCCATTTGTTCGCTTCATCAAATGTTGCCGGTTGAGCCAAATATGGACTTTTCAGAATAGCCTTAGTTACAGCAAGAACATTGTCCCCAGCCCTGTTGCCACGAGCGAATATTTGAGATTCGAAAAGAAAAAAAAACCTTTGTATAGCTCCACTTTCGATTCGCCATTCCTCATCGAACTCAGTATGATAAACCCATCCATTCTTTGTGTAAGCGATATCCAAACCAGAAATTCTACCGTAGTCTCGGAAAATTCGGAAGTCGGTATCGGAAGGAATAATTCCAGATTGGAAGATCTCTTGCGCGAGCACACTGCAGAAAGGGTGAGGTGCTGCCTCTAGATAGGTTTGAAGGAGCCATGAATTGCCGGGTCCAGCCTAGACTGAACTAATTTACGGATTTCATTATTTAACATACTTGAAACAAAATTTCACGTCCACCTGAACCAGTTCCTTCAAGGTTCAAGAAAGCTCTAATAGTGTGGCGCCAGGGATGTTGCTCGATGAAGCCGTGAGCTCCTTGCAAGAAGTTTTCTTCCGCTGCAGAAAAACGATTAAAATGATCCGAGAAAGTCTCATAGTTACCTCCATTAAACAAGAAAACAATATCATGCTGGAGCACCTTTTTCGAGTGTGAAAAAACTCTCAAGACATCCATCAAGATGGCGCATGAAACCTACAGGTCAATCGAATCAATCGAATTGCAAAATAGTAAGGCTTACAGCATCGTCAGTTGCTCCTGGAGTATCGGGCATCGTGTCGAAATGACAGTTTAACATCAGAGCATGATCAGAAGGTTGCTTGGGACCGATTCTGACAACTTAAAATGCGGAAGTTAAATTAACCGGTGAGTATCTTGCCTATATTTGTCACTTTATGATAGCAAAGTGTAAAACTACTCAGAAATTTGAGATCAAAACATCCTGTTGGTCGCTTAACGAAACATATATACTTTACAGGTGATCATGTACATACTTGAACATCAAGTTCGAATCGGTTCGTGCCAACTTGTTCAAACGTTTTGCGAATGGTATCTAAGCTCGCTGTAACAATATTGAACGCTTTAACCTACAAAGAGAATCACAGATAACACAACCCTATGTCAACCCACTTCTAGATTTTCAGAACCACTGGGTCTGGGACCCAGCCCAGATAAACTTTTGAGAAAAACTCTAGCTCTAGCTTCACTGAATTCTTGGAAGTTATCGGCTTCGATAACAGAAGGCATTTTCCTAGACATTTCTTGTAAACTAGAAGAGATTAGCAGCATATATACCTGTGTAGGTAAACAACACCGCCATATATAATGCCGAAACAACAAAGAAGCAGGAGCCAGTGTCTGAACCCCAAAGCCTCCTGAAAATTTTTCAGTGAACAGAAAAGCAGCTGAGTCATACCACTGCTCTTTTAGTTTTACCATCCTTCAACTCATAATAAGGAACCTCTCCATATGTTTGGCCAGGAACAGGAAGATTCCTGCGCCGTAGTTCCATAATGATCCTATTAATTATTATGTATATGTGCTACATGTGTATATAGATAATGATCGATGTAATAGTAAGAATGATACTTGTGAAGTTTTAACTGCGAGAAATCAAACTTTCTTTAATGCATGGTAACTACACACAACCAGGAATTCCTCTCGACATAAAGCTCCAGTTATATCTTATTTATAAAAGTTTGTTTTCTTAAGTATTTTAAAAGCCAAAAGAGAAGAACAGTGTGAACACCCAATGGAATAAGTTAAAAACATTATATGGAAGGTACAAAAACTGCAATAGAAACGATTAAACAGACGTCATCTTTACCGGCGTTCACGTCTGAAAAAAAATCATATAAGGAGAAACATACTAGCTAAACTGCAAACTGGGTAACAAATAAATATTGATAAGAGTTTGTAGATGATATCAGACAAAGAGTCATGTTTCTTATTTCTCTTACTCTATGAGTGTTATTTGATAAGGCTCATAAAAACCTACCGATCACGTTCTCTGTCTCGGTCCCTGTAGGGCTCTCGATCTCTGTTGCGATGACTACGATCATCATATCTTCTACTATTGCGATCTCTATCCCTTGAACGTGAACGACTGAAAATCACAAGGTTCTGAAGAATTACCCAGAAAAACAATTATCACCTTCTTCTGCGGTTCCCTCTGTCTTCATCCCGGGGATGCCTTTTAGGTGAGTTGCGTCTATACGGCCTTGAAAGAAAACTTTGAACCAAAACCAAAATTTCATTTTACCTCCGATCTGCAAACCTCGAAGCTGGGATTGGGTATGTGTCTCCTATCTCCTCTCGTCGTTTCAATCTTCTATCTTCTATAGTCTCCTGAAAGTGATACATTATGATAAACGACAGAGTATTATTCTAAAAAGACAATGGAACAGACAAGTTGATTTTACAGCGCTTCATAACACAATCGTCGACTTATAGGTAATGTATGAAACATAGTTATATTATCGCTAAAGAGTTTCGCTCTATTTTCAAGAAAAAACTGAAAACCGCGACCGAAACAAAACCCACGTAAACAAACGGAAAACATGTCAGCATTGGGCTAAGATGTAGTAACGCTTGTGACCTAAAGTGGCCAAACCATTTTATTAGGACTTCAAAGTTTAGTCACGTTCCAGCTTGAATCAGCTTAGTACGAGCTTCTACAATATTTGAGAAAATAAACGCTACCTTCATTTGATTATATTTTTCACGCACGTCCAACATTCCTAAGTGCATTTTGCCATTATAATGGTCTGCGATTCGAGATTCATGATCCATAATATTTAACTGTGCGCCACATTCCTCACAGACTCTCAGTCTTGAAGCGTTTCCCGGACCAGTGGGACGAACTTCTGTTTGCGCCTAAACAGAACTTGCTATGAGACTGCGAGCAGGAATGGAATAGTTTCAATCAAACACTGAAGGTGAATGATTGAGCCGTATCCCAGAGAAGTTATTTATAATCAAACTCTCGTGAGAAGCGGTTGCATTCATTATTTTTCTTCATTCACTTACTCAATAGTCAAATTTGATTGAAAATGAATCAAGAAAATAATGCAGTACCAATTGAATTATCGAAGTATTCTCACCTCTAACTCTGACTTTCGAAGCCTTAACTCTTCCACTGATTTTGATAACTTTATAGACTCTTCAACTTTTCCCATATTACCAAGAGCTTCCATTTCTTCAACAGCTTTGCTTATTTTTGCATCTAATTCATCAATTTTTTGAGTCTGAAATAAAGTTCATCGAAATTTTTCTGGCAAAACTGTTGAATGACCTTCATTTGTTCAGCAGTGTCATTTTGATCTCTTGTTTCTCGATCCAATTTTTGTTGGATTCTTGCGATTTCACCATCAACAACTTTAACAGCATGCTCCAACGAATCGAAAGCCTTGAAGATTAGAAATAATATTTTTAAAAAAGTGGAAACCAACATCAACATCATAAAAATGATCTTTCCTAGCTTGTGCTTTTTGATAATCTGCTTTGTGTGCCGGTTCGTGAACTCGATAACAATTTAAAAGACCCTGTAGAATTGAACAATATTGATACAATTAAAATTAAAGAACCTGTAATCTACTGTCCGGCACTAGATCATACGGGCAAGCTCCAACCAAATAGGCGCGACAAACTGAAGGATGATTGTATGCAATCAAATCACGTCCATCCTCATCATCTTTCTGTGAGCCCATTAGCTGGGCTATCATGTCACGCATGGCTTCCGTCATGCTTACTATAAAAACAGTTGAGAAAATAACAAAAACAAGGAGAACAGAAGTACGAGCGATACAAACGAGCTGGTTTTGAAATCAAAATGCAATTCCTAAGCTTTCATTCACCGGTAATAACTCTTATGAAACATCTATTTACAACACAAACTGAGTAAACTAATTAAGCCTTTTCTGACGATGACGGTCCTTTTCCTGCTTTGTTTTTTAGTATCCGTTGGCGAAGAAGTCTCCCGTATTGCGTGCCTAAGAAGGCCAGAATGAAAAGACCCAAGAATAATTCAACGACCCTGAAAATTTTCATTTCTCTAGCGAAGCTTTTGAATTCTAACTTAATTGTGGTTAAACCTTGATAAAGGTCAATTTTCACTCCATTGCTTAATGAAATACCAATTAGAGCTTCCTCTTTCCTGATATCAGCCCAAAACTGTTGAGCATTCTGCGCATAAGAAACGACAACTACATTATCTGTAGTCTGAAGGACAAATATTTGACGAATTGTGAACTATTGAACGAACTGGTTTGCCATCTATGACGGCTCCGTCATGAAGAAAAGCGATAGCACGTTGCTGAGCTGGACAGAATAAGATATTTCGTACCTTAAAAACTCATTGTACACAAGCAAAACCCTAACTAAAAACACCTCTCCTGTTTTCAAGTAGCGATCGACAAAGGTCCTGAAATCGATGCCAGGTCTGGAAAGTACAGACTTACTGATAATTAGACTAAAGCAAGGCTGCACCTCGTCAAATGATCCGAACTAAGACCATCTGGAACACCACTTCCATCTTTAAACATAGTCGCTAGTATCAAAAAAGATGATACAAACGATAAGCCGGCTACAACCAAAACATACATTCTCAACTTTTTTACTAAAAAGAGACAATTTTAAGTGAATGCAGAAAGCGTTAATACCAGTAGCTGGATCAAGCTTTGGTGGTTGCTTTCCTTCAGATTCTGAGCTTTTCTTGCCATCCTCATGTTGCTCACCATTTTCAGATCTATCGTTTTCTGGACGAGTGTTGTTTTGCTCGGTTCCAGGTGCACGCGTTCTAATATGGCGAAGTTCTATAGGCTATAGATTTTGAAAATACTTAAAAAAGCTTATTCTATATTACCCTTAGTTGAAGACACTAATTGTGACGATGGTAGCAGTCTTCCATTGTTTGCGCATGATCTAACGGAAGGTATAAGAGATCGAGACGCTACATTGAATGAATGAAACTGTTTCGACAGTCTCACGAATATTGATTTGTTTTGAGTAAATGCTCTGTTCATACTGAAATCATAAACATGTTATAATATTAACTAAAAAGCTCAAAGAAGCTGATAAAATAACTTTAATTAGAAATGCGTTTGAAGCCAGTGACCGACGCAGGGTAACCTTGTAAACAGCATACAAGTAAGATTATGAATCAAAAAATTAGAATAAACGACAAACACTATGGAAGATATTGAGAACAAATTTCTGGATAGCAGTAAAAAATCACATGATATATGTAGAGAAAAAGTGGAAAAATCAGTTAATTAGAGTTCTGATTTAATTGGCACGAAATAGCGCATGGTTGCTATGGTTACCTAGATAAAGCTAGTTGAAGAATTGGATCTGCTCAACAACGTACGAGCTCTTCTGAATGGTAAGTCTTTTCCTTCCAAAATGAAACATGATGGAAATTAATTTAGTTGCTATCAAGATTACGACCTTCTAAGAAGAAGAATGCTGAGACTGCTGAGCAAAAAGTCACGCGTCAACCACGTTTACCTGAATTGGATGAGTATTTGCTCAAAAGAGATTATGCAGGAGCTATATCTATGCTGGAGGTTATACATAAGTTCGAATAGAGCAAGAATTAATATAAGTTTCAGTTCAAAGTGAAAAGTGCGAATAGAGATGAGAGCACTGAGTTATGGTTGGGACATTGCTACTTTCGTGCTGGTGAATTCAAAAAAGCCTGTGAAGTTTGTTGAACAATAATTGAATATCATAATGCAATGAGCAACTTTGAAGGTTTATGAACGAATGCTGAAATTAGAAAGTTGTCCAAATGAAGTCTATGTTTACTTGGGTTGCTGTTTCTTATTTCTGGGAATGTATAAGGAAGCGAAAGAGACTGCAGAGAAATGCATGTTTTTCGACAAAAGAGAAAAATTATGAACTGTTCAGGCAAAAGAAGTCCCTTGCAAAATAGATTGATGTTCCATGTATCTCACAAACTGGGAGATGAGAAAAAGTTGATGCTTCATCATCAACAACTCGGGGTAAAATAATCCTAATGAGACATTAAGAATAATTATTTTAGGAAGTTTTGGAAGATCAATTATCTCTGGCCTCTATCCATTACATGCGCCAACACTATGCCGAAGCTATTGAAATTTACAAAAGCATATTAACTCAAAACACGTTGAGAATAGCCTTTTAGTTTTTTTTAACCTTCCAATTGTAGAAATATGATAGCAGTTAACGTTTATATGGCAATGTGTTACTACAAAATGGATTATTACGACGTGGCCATGGTAATCAAACAAAGAAGTGTGTACTGATTAACACTGTTATTGTAGGAAATGCTGGCTGTTTATTTGAAATCTTTCCCAGATAGTCCTGCTGCTCTCAATCTTAAAGCCTGCATAACATACAAAACATACATGGGAAAAGCTGCACTGGTTATCTCAGTGACCTAGTTCGATAAAAATGAAACATTTAGGCTGAAGTGGATCAAATCCAAAAAGGAACTCTCTATCCCGCCATCAGAGAATTACTCAATCACAATATGGTCGTTTTCAAAGAAGGGGATGGTGCTCTGCAAGTGTTTCCTGGGATGGTCAATGACGTGCCTGAAGCTCGTCTTAACTTGATAATTTATAACTTGAGAATAGGTTAGCCGAAAAATAATCACACGTAAGCATAGCTCTTGGATCTAGAAGATATAGGCACTGCTCTTAACTTGTGCCAGGAGCTGGAACCACAGAGACCTCTTGAGTTCCTCATCAAAGCCATTGTCTTCACGTTCTGGGGTAATAATAGAGAATCGGTCAGTGAACTAGAAAGTAAAGTGTTATAAAATTGTTACAGAAAGATCATTTGAAAACTGCAGAACAGTTTTTCAAAATGGTGGGAGAATCTCTGCTTGAAGCAGGTGAGTGAAAATAACGAAACCGCTCTGCGCGTCTTTAGAATCGAAAAAAGTTTTAGTTCTTACTTTCACTGTTGACGTGTTACTTAAGAGGCGTTATTTGCAGACACAATCATTGGAAGACAAGCTATGGCCTCGAGTTACTTTTTACAGCAGAAATTTGATGACGTTAAAGTGTATCTTCATTCGGTTAAGGTAAATGCCCTCATTGTGAATGCAGAAAGAGTTCATGACAGGCTTATCACGTGAATGATGATACTTTTCATTGGAATTACGGTCAGGCTTTACTAGCTTGCAGAAACTATAAGGAAGCTGAGGAAGAACTGCTGGCTGTCACTAGCAGTATACGTGACGCAAGTCTTTATAAATATTTCTTGGCAAGAGCATGTGAGCTTACTCAGATATTCCAAATCGTGAACTGTATTTCCAGTTATTATGAATGGTAAACCACAATTTGCTTGGGATTTGTATACGAGAACAAAGGATAACAAAGTATCCTTTACTCTTCTCAGAATAATCGCTCATGATTGCTATAAAGTTTGTTCGAGAAGAACAGAACAGACAAATCTATCAATTTAAGGCAGAAGAGTATTATTTTGCTGCTAAAGGTTTTGACGGATTAGAGAAAATCGATCCTTCCCCTGAGCATTGGCAAGGAAAGATGTGTTCAGTCGCCGGTGTTTTCAAGCTTTTAATAGCTGGCAAAGCGAGCAAGTAAGCTTATTTGTGATTGAATTCTGTACTCGAAAAACATTAATTCAGTGAACAGATGTCTGAAGTTCTCATATTCCTCGAAAGAGGAGGCCAGCCTCAGTCAGATTCGTTAGCTAACACAATACGAGGATGGGCGAGAAGAAATCAAATAAACCTCTCTTAATGCAGTTATTCTACTGAGATTCCACGATATTTTGGATGCGTTATAACTTGCTTTTCATCGTCAAATTTGAATAAAGCTTTTTTCAATTAAACAATACGTTGAATGTTCTGAAATTATTGAGAAATTGAATCATCTGCCAAAACGGGTCTGATGGATTAAGGTGTACAGGGATGCATCCCTGTTTCTTTATCTCATCTGATCACACAATATATCTTATATTCTCGAGGTCTGGCTCCACTTAGAGGACTCTTCCTTATCTAGCCATTACGACTTTCCATCTCTGCGATGATCAAGAAACTGAGGGATAGTGATTACAAGCAATGAAGAGTGCATAGCAAGATAGGATATTTTAATAATACGATAAAAGAGATACTATGCACCGTATTTTATTGTTTATCCTGAATGATGGCCTATATCCTCAGAGAGTCAAGGACAATAGGTGGGCAAGCCTATAAAAGGCTGAGGTTTCCAGAAACGTAGGTCGTTGCTGTCTTCATCTGGAATCAGTATGGACGGCAAGGAAACAGATCATCATAGGTAAATAATTTCAATTGTTTCTTTTCTCATACTCCCACTTACAGATATATGAAGCGCATAGCTTTCGGCGCTGTCGTCGTTTCGACTGTTGCAGTTATCACTGCAGTCGTCACTATGCCAATGCTCTACGATTACGTTCAGAGGCTCCAAACTGACATTAACTTAGAAACAGAGTTCTGCAAGTCTCGCACTCATGATCTTCTTGTTGCTATGTACCAACGCGTTCCTGCTGGACGTGCTAAGAGAGGTTGGCTCTTCGGACAATGGGTTCCAGACAGCGGAGCTGGAGGTGGTGCCGATTACGGAGCACCAGCTACTGAGCCAGGATATGCCCCCGCTCCTCCTCCAAGCAACGGATACGGACCTGTCGTTAATGCCGAGCCTGCTCCACAATGCTGTACCTGCCAACAAGGTGAAATTAGTTGTATAGTTTTAAAAAGCTAACTTTATTACTTTCAGGACCAGCTGGACCTCCAGGACCTCCAGGAGATGACGGAAACGCAGGAAGAGACGGAGATCAAGGACTTGACGGAAAGAGTGGTCGCGACGGTGGAATCGCTCCATCCGATGGACTTCAATCTGAGCCATGCATCATCTGCCCACCAGGACCACCAGGACCAGCTGGAGCTGCAGGATCCAAGGGACCACAAGGACCACGTGGATCTCCAGGATTGTCTGGAGTCGATGGACGTCGTGGAGAGCCAGGAATGGTCGGACCAGCCGGACCTCAAGGAGAACCAGGAAACCAAGGACCCAAGGGAAAGAAAGGAGAAGACGGTCGTGTCATCAATGTCAATGGACCACCAGGACCAGCAGGAGCTCCAGGACCACAAGGACGCAAGGGAGAACGCGGACCAAAGGGACGTGTTGGATCTGTCATCCCAGGACCACAAGGACCTCAAGGAGACCAAGGAAAGAAGGGACGCAGCGGACGCAAGGGAGAAGCTGGAAGACCAGGACCTCTTGGATCCCGCGGAGCCAACGGAGATTGCTTCCATTGCCCAACTCCTCGTACTCCTCCTGGTTATTAAACCATGGACAAATGACCATCAAAAAAATGGTCTTTAACTTATTAAGTGCAATAAATTATTTGTTATTTGAAGTTTGTTCACGAAGTTTCGGTCAAAGCGCATAAATAAAGCGAGCCCCACTGAATAATCTTCGGTTTCATGAGAACCCTAACATGGGAAGGACAAGTAATTTATCTTTTCCAATTTCCACATTATAATGAAGCCAACCAGAATTAGAGAACCTATCCATAGAGGATGAACATAGTAATTCCTTTCACGAGACGCGAAGTTGTGGGTAACAAGATATCATCAGGGTCAAGTCAGATAAGAGTGATTGTACAAATTATGTGTTGGTCAACTAAAATAAGTATGTCCCCGATATAAGACGAAAACTAAACCAATACGGGTAATAATGGAAAGTTCGAATGATATAGGTATTAACAAAATGAGAAAAACAGTTATATACGCAACTACTTTCGTCTCAGCACTTTTATTAAATAAACCTATTACAGCAGTTTGTAAACAAAAATAATAATTGGAAAGAGCAGAGTGGTACAATATTTTGCCGAAGTTTCGTACGTTTCAAATACAACTAATACTGACGCTCAGATGATTTTCTATGCATTCAATTGTCTTTGGTCCGAGAATTTTGTTGGAAAAATTGATGATATTCCAATCGATACTGTTTGTCTTCGTACTTCGTCTTCTAAAGTAGTTATTTCTGAAGTAGTTGATGAAGTAATGAAAGTGAATAAGGAATATTAATAAGATATGGGACACTTATTCGAGAATGTAGACAAGCACATATCCCTTTGTTTTCTATTTCAAGTCCTGCGCTAGAAGAGATAATGAGAATATCGAATGCGCTTGCTAAACGGGCATTCAATCACTTCATCACAGGATCTGCTTTATCTCGAACTCGAAACCTAACTAGGAAAGTTAATGACAACGAAACGACAATTACCAGTTTTTGTCCCGCCTCCAGATTTGCTTGATCTCGGTGACCGACTACATAAGGAACAACTTCACATTGCGCCCCCTTGTCTCCTCTCGTGTGCTCTATCAGTAGTCCACACGACTATGGATACATCCACGTCGTCTACGTCTTCGTCATCACAGATGAAGAAGGAGACGGAAGAACAGCGTCAGATGCGCCGCGTCGCCTTCTTCGCCATCGTCATTTCCACGGCTGCTGTTATAGCTTGTATTGTTACGTTACCCATGCTCTACAGCTATGTTCAATCTTTCCAAAGCCATCTTATCGTAGAAACTGAGTTCTGCAAAGTGAGTTACACTTGTATTTTTACCAGAAAAAAAACATGCATAATTTGAGCTCGATCGTTTCATAATATATTTACAGAGCCGCGCTCGCGACATGTGGGTTGAAATGCAAGTCCTACACAAATCTGGAGTTCCTCGACTTCGCAGAGAAGCCCGTGGATCTGGAACCTGGCTCTTCGGACAATTCGTTCCAGATAGCGGAGCCGGAGGTGGAGGAGGAGGAGGAGGAGCTTATGCTCAAGCTGGTGGTGGATCTGGCGGTGCTGGATATGAAACCGGAGGCGGAGCTGGATCCGGAAGCGGTGGTTACGGACCAGTTGCTAACGCTGATATCGGGCCAACATGTTGTCCATGCCAACAAGGTCAGACAAAGTAATGATACGTCATAGCAACTTATGTTTTTAGGACCAGCTGGACCCCCAGGTCCTCCAGGAGATGACGGACCACCAGGAAACGATGGGCATCACGGAAGCCCAGGAGCTCCAGGAAAAGAAGGATCAATTTTATCTTCTGCTCTTCCACCATCTGAGCCTTGCGTTATTTGCCCACCTGGTCCTCAAGGACCAGTTGGTCAACAAGGACCACCAGGACCAAACGGTCCTAAAGGAAAACCAGCCGAGAGAGCCAAAGACGGCAAGAACGGAGAAATGGGAATGATTGGACCCCCAGGACCACCAGGAGGTTTTGGAGACCAAGGACCACCAGGACCACCAGGACAACCCGGACGTGTCGTACAGGTAATTTTCGAAGTTAAAACTCGATGTTCAAAAAAACATTGAAGGTTAACGGGCCTGCGGGACCAGCTGGAGAACGGGGACCAAAAGGACCTGTTGGACCAAAGGGATTACCAGGAATTGATGGTAGCTCCGTCGGAGGAGAATCTGGTGCACCTGGAGACCAAGGACCACCAGGACCTCCAGGAGGACCAGGACCCAAAGGACCACAAGGACGCCAAGGACCTCAAGGTACGAAAGCATTAGAAAATTGAGAAACTTGAACATCACCTCATTGCAGGAGAAGAAGGATCTTGCGACCACTGTCCAGAGCCACGTACTCCACCAGGGTACTAAACAAATCAAAACTCTTCTGATTCATTGGTGGGAAAGTCACCGATATCAACAAAATAATCGATGGGATGCTGCTATCCTGTTGTTTAGCTATTTCTTCTTCTGCTGCTGACTGTACATAGATTGTTGTATTTTTCATGTTGTATGACCACGACACAAGACACACGACTAATAATAAATTGCATGGGTCAAGAATGTTTCTGCTTCATCTGAAGATTTCAAATATATTTGACACCTACAAGTCAAGCTCTCTACTATTTCCGCGTAGAGAGAGAAAGCTATCTTTCGTCTCTTGGCGTTATTAAACTCGAATTCATTCTCTCTCTACCATCTAAAATAATTTTAAGAATTCATTAGTTTGATAACAAAATGATAAACTTGCTTGGGATGATTCAATTAAAGTAATTAGAAAAGTAAACAAACTTTTGCTGAACGCGCAAAATTCTTTCCTTCCTACGTAAAGAATCGGAGTTCTAAACTTGAAGAAGGAAACGGAACTTATTAATACAACTCGAACTCCTCTGTCTTCTCATCTTATATCCCACATCTCACTCAAAATTATCAATTGACGTCGGCTGATAGGGATGATAAGGTGTAAAATGTAACATTTGAAGACGTTGTAATAGAAATAGTATCTCTCTCTCTAAATTCTGAAGAACCATTGTTTTCTTTTTTACTAAACTCATATCTTCCACATTTTAACTCACGTAAAATTGAACATGAGTCAATGTAACCGGAGAAACAAGCGAGACGGACCGGCAAAAGGGACAGCCAGCCATCGATCTCCGCCCTCTCTCGGCGCCTTTCACCAATTTCATCACTGTTTCTCTGTTCTCACAGACTAGCCAGTTCAACATCCAATTTCGTTTCCAACACACTTTTTCAACTTCACAAAAACCTTCAAACTTCACTATTAATTCTGTTCATAGTGAGCTATGAGCAATAACGTCGGAAAAGGTGAGTATTTCACAATACTGCACTGCATGACATACCTTTTACTCTCCTAACACTGTAGGGTTTGAATCATAGAAATCTTCATGAAATGTTTAATTAGTTCATTATTTCGCATCTTAGCCGTCTTTCTCGTTCTCTCTCTTGAACATCGATTTAGCCCAGAGAAATATCCACGTGAGACATGTCAGTCTTGAAATACTCGGTCATAAACATCTGAAAAACTTTCACAGTTTAGATGAAAACAGTATTGTTTATTTTGAATTACATGAATTAATTACGATTTAACATTCCACTTTTCCGTTCCAAAGATAAAGTAGATGAGTCCTCGTCATTGATACTACTTGTCACCATTTCTTCAGCAAACGATAATTTCAATATTATTATATTGATTGAATTCAAAGATATAACTTCTGCAATAAATTCATGTACAATGAAATCAAGCTGACTACGTGAATAACACGTACGACATTAGCGGTTTAGTTACCCTTTATTCTCGGTTAAACAGACGTACTAAGCGTTTGCATTGTCAGCTCTCTTCTTAATCCAAATAATTTTGATACGGGAGTGCTTCTTGCGTGTGTGTTTTTTTGGAATTTTGAACGAGAGGTGCTCTACAATCCCACATGTTCAACAATCGGAACAGTAAAAAGCCTTCCGTCATATGATTTGCTCAAGTCTACCTCGTTTTTATGCGAAAACACGTAGCTCAGCTAATAGGAATTAACCTGACTATCTGAGAGATAGACAAACAAATTTCATTTTATCCTTTTCGTACAATACGATCATTCAACAGAAGTTTCATTGCAGAACTGAAAAATTGATTGGGATATGACGAAGTTTTTACTGCGCTCTATTTACCTCATGACACAAGTGCCTTGTATCTTATATTATTCCTCAAAAACAAAGAGCAACAATCTTTTCATGAAATAAGGTTGTCTTCACATGTTCAACTCTTATCGTTTCTTTCGAATCAATGTCAAAAACGTAACTTCAATGAGGGTTTTCTTCTAAATACAGCAGCGAAGTTCAAAAAAACTAGTTGGCGTTGTGATTTTCCCAAAATAACCGAATACATGGGAATAAGGTCTTATCTTAAATTTTAGTTCAAAATTTGCAACGGCAAAGAGTTATTAAATGTTTTATGGTTCATAAGATATTATTTGGTTTCAATCCATCATATCAATGATAAAGACACAAAGGTATTGTCGCAACAGTATTTTATTCAATAAAAATTGTCTCAATATAAAGAGTCACAACGTATATAAAAAAAGGTTGAACATCCGATAACTGTTCCTTAACTTGAACCATCAAACCAGCAGTAACATTGGTTATTACCAGTTTATAATTTTCAGTTCGAAGTATAAGGCTATGTGTTGAGCCTGTTGAGGTTGAATTAGACGAAGACGACGGAATCAAATGGACATCTCTACAGACGGCGTTCCCAGGTCTTAATTTCGTGTTTTTAAAAATATCAATTTTTCTTTAAAGGTTGTTCGGGAATGTATTTCCGTGACCGCGAGAAAGATTGTCGATCGTCAGTTAAATTCGATGGAGAAAAATTCAAGCCACCTGGAGGAGCGTGGAATGATCGTGAATATTTTGTACATTTGAGTAAGTTTTTAACATCCTCCTTCACACTCTGTTTGTTTGTTGGCCGATGATGGGAGTAAGCTGAAAAATCTACATATTATTTAGAAAATCAATATTGAAAGAAATGTTTTCAGGTCAGCGTTGTCATTCGTCGAATATGAGTTCTTACGAATCAGCAACAAAAACATTTGAAAAAAATGTACAAGTTGTCCAGCAACTCATTTCCGCTACAATGGGTAAATATTAAAAAAATAGTCATTACTTAAACAATCCTTATCAGGTGGTTCACGCCGACGTGTAGCATTATCTCCAAATATGAGTAAACATTCCGCAAGTTCCGCTTCCGTTTCTTCAGATTTGACTGTAACATCATTAGTAAGGGTTCAAAAACTACTTTTCTCACTCACCTTATTCTTCAATAAAGGAACAGGAACGTCCACTGCAATCCAGCATAGCAGTCAAGGAGATGACCCCCTTAGAGCAACAATTTGCAGATTTGGCAAAAATATCGACTGGAAAAGATATTATCATCGAAAACTTACGAGAAGAAATCAAAAAGCTCAATGAAAAACTTGAAGATAATCAAAAGTACAGTTAACTATTAGACTAGCATTTTTCGAATTTTTAGGAACCTCCAAAAATGTGATACACAGCTCAAGGAATCGGAATCAAGAGTCGAAGCTTTCGAAACTGAGTTGAATTTACTACGAAGCATGGCTGATGATCAGCAATCCATGAATAATAGGGTATGAAATAGCCAATACATCCAATAGATAAATGTTATTTGGTAGGTCACAAGTTTGACTCTAGATGTAGAGGAAAAAACCAAGGAAATCGCTTCACTTCAAAACCTGTTAACGGAGGGAGAAGAATCATGGAAAAAGGATCAACTATCTCTTCAAGAAAAGTATGGAAACTCTAAAAAAAAAGTTTTAAACCAAGACTCGCAGGATAAACCTTCAAGCAGCAGAGTTAGAAGAGAAGTCTTTGGAACTTGCGGAAGTCTCTGAGAATCTTGAGCTGGCCCTATCGTCCAAGAGTGTTTTATCTAATGAGATTGAACAACTTCGTCCTCTTGCCGATGCTATTCAACTTGAGGTAAACACAGTAGCTCACAGAGGCTCACAGTCGTTTTGTAGGGAGAAGATAACGTTCTGACATACATGCAAATGAAAATTGAACTGAATTCAGCAAGAGATCGATTACAGAAACTAGAAACGGACAACTCTCAGCTCAAACAGTCGTTCGAAACGACTGCAGCAACTGAGAGATCTTTGGTAATTGACAACACTCGACTGATGGAGAGGTTTGATTTAGAAACTGCTAAGTATTTACCTATATATAAAATGCTCCTCTTTAGAAACAGTAAATTAGAAGACAGAATGGCCAACGTAGACAGCGATATGAAGAAAATAAACGAAGAATGGAAAAGTACAATTGAATCAACCCGTAAAGAATGGGGACGGACAGTAAGTTGCTCTAGCATATATTAAAACAACCGTTCTGTACCAAAGCGTTGGTATAAATGACTTCGCTCGTGCCATATCGCGTATTTTCCGTGACATGTAGCATACAGTATGATTTATACAAATATTATAATAATCAAGTTTGATCAATAATGGTTGTGTTTTCGTTTAAGAAACTGGAAGCTGAGAAAGAGGTTGACAGCATGAAGCAGCAGATATCCAACTTGCAAAGATTGCTGGAAGCTTCTACACGTGACGCTACCGATAATGCTCGAAGGTTAAATGATCCGCTTTCCTCTTATTCTCTAATATAATTACTTACATTTGATATTCGAATTTTTGCTCAAGAACATGCATGGTTTATGTAAATACGATATTTTCAATAGCTTGATGTAAAGCCACTCACACTTTTCGAGTTTCAGACACTTGCACTGTTAGAATCATGATTTTTTCCACAATTTGCACCCTCTGGTTTATGTTTTCAACGATAGTCATTGGGCACTGCTTTCATTTTCTCTTCCTCTCTAAGAGAAAAAACAATTTGCATGAAAAAGATTGTCTCTAACCTTATCAAATTGAACTTACAACGTGTGATCCTATTCGTCTAGGATGATTTCTAGCTCAAATAGGTAAGGTAACGTGTATTTTGCACCCATAATCTCATGAACATTCGGTTTGTCATATGTGAAGCTTAATAAATGTGTTTTGTCCAATATAAACTGTGTCCGTTCATGTCCTTCTTGTGTACCGTCCATGCTTGTCGTTTGACCCTCCCATGTTCGTTTTGTGAGACAGACGGAAAGCTATTCCTGTAGTATAATTGAATATGGAGAACTATTGTACAGTGTGTCGTTATACTTTAATGTTTTTCGATCAGCAATCATGAATGAGCTTTAAAAATCTTGTAAGAACATTAAAACTACAACATTAATAATTTCTCTTTTAACTTTCTGTTGTTCAGACTTGAGGAATCCAATAAAAATGTCAGCAAACTGAGAAAGGATCTAGAGAATGCAGAACTCCGCCAACAGGTCAGCAAGAGAAAAACTAGTCGAACCCCTTTTTTCCCTTCTCTCTGATTCAAGCTAACTATCAAATAATACCTCACATAACAATTGAAAATAGGTTCGCAACAGACACATGTTAACCGCTTTTCCACCCTCACTGTACTCATCTCATAATTCTCTTCTGATGGAACAATCTAATTTTTGATGATTAATGGCGTGGCACAGGCGCATAATTTCTCCAGACAATGAAAAACTAAAAAATGAAAATATTTTCCTTTTTAAGCAAATCCGTAGTGACGATCTACTCTTGGCTTTTCTCACCAGATAACTACTCGCAATTCATTTAAAAGTATTTGTATATTATGAGTTGAATCTATTTCAATAAAACATTTTCTCTGAGCCTTAACAAACAGCTTCTCACCAACTTACATGCATCCAGATTCAACAGCTTCGTTCTTCACCTTCTAATTGTTTTTTACAGGAACCTCTTAAGAGACAAGTTGAAACACTATCGTCTGACTTAAGTGGCGCTGAAGCTAGAGTAAATCATTGAAGCTTACTTAATCAGCAACCCACTTTTGTTTTTTTAGATCTTAGAATTAGTTAGTCTAGTTTCATCGTTAACAGCTGATGCTCACAATAGTCGTCGTGATATGGATGATTTGATATAGTAGAAAGAAATCGTTATTTGTTGAAAAAAAGAAGAGTTTTGAATTTACCGTTGATATCCAAAGACTTCGCTCATGTACGTGGTATATGTAAATCATGAAAATACTTAATAAAAATAAAATATTTTTCAAACACGATTGCTCCCAGTTGAAATGTACTCTTAATAAATACGTTTTTGATCAGATTCTCGCATATATCATTCACAACTTCAAAACACCTTCAACAATCAGAAAAGCTAAAACAACACTGACATAATGCTGTTGCAAGCCGAAAAAATCTTCAAAGCAAATGAACGTAGATTTGAGCTTTTTTTGGCAGAACAATAATAATAAATAATCGTTCTGTGATTGATAAACGCTTTGATGTTCATGAGAGATCGCTGTCAGAATTTTACTCCAACTTATGGGAGTTTGATAGAGGCTGCTTCAAAGCCATACTGCCATCATCAAACGGTGTCTTTATCAGTTCGTATGAACCAATATTGATTATTCAAACTGTCTGTGTTAGACTGAATTATTGAAATGTTTAGAAAAACGTTCTCTTGTTTTCATATTTTTGTTAATTATTTTAAGTTTAATAGTTTTATCACTCGACATAGTTTCTTAATTAATTATTGCTTTTTTCCACGTGGTAGCAGGGTTAAATGATAACGTAATGATTGAAGAAAGATATTCCTAAAAATCTTTTTTTTCTTCAGAGAACTAATGCAGAAGCTTGAACACAAGAGCTTGCAGATTGAAGTTAACTGTCGTTTTCTCCCTCTTATCCTACCTCCCACCCCACGCTGCCTTAGCAGTCTCTGTCACATACAAATTACATACTTGTCAGTACAAATGATATTTAATGCTTACCAGCTTGAATTTAAACTTAGCCGTTGCGTCATGAAAAGAGCCCATAAATACTTCATGAGCCATTTAGTTCTATTTGATTACTCGATCAATTTGTTAAATTGATAGGGTTTAAGAATGTTCAGTGTGTTTTGCCCTCCCACTCTTTTTTTTCTGTTTTCATTACGGCATTCTTCATTCAAATTTCCTTGGCTGATGTTTCGTTCCATTCAAATTGAAACTATATCTTTCTCATCTTAATAAGATTATCAATAAGGAGGTTGACTGATAAGGATTGTCAATGAACTTTTCCAAACTTTTTGGTATGTTCTACACATTAACGAGTGAATGGTCTATAATAATCGCTCACATCTAAGCATCTTCAACATGCTATTGGTTGCGGCATTTTATTCTTCAAGCTATAAATTTCAGCTTCTCTCTTCACCATCATTTTTTATATGTAGACAGTAGCTTGCTTCGTTATCTCTAATCAGCTTGCCAACGGCAGTAAGCAGCATCCTTACGGGTTACAACGCCCCAATAATAAGAGAGCAAAAAGGTAGTAAGTGAGCTCCTCCATGATTTTTTCTCCTCCCCTTTCTTGTTTCTCTTTTTTACGTTTCACTGTACATAATCATTTTTCTTCTTATTATTTATATTTGACGAATTGGGGAACAGTATGAAGTGTTTGTTTTCAATACTTTTGATCAGAATGTATCAGCTTAAACATGGGAAACAAAGACATTTTTTTTAGCTTTCTTATGCAGTATTACTTATTGTTTTCTTGCTACACATCATCATACTCATTCTCATTTGATTCTTCTATGGATTTTAGTGTTGAACCCCGATGTCACGTCGACTGCTATGGGTCTTATATTTATTACTCTGCTTAGGCTCAATAGTAGCTGAAGAATGTAAGGCAGAGGTTGTATCTTTGAAACATTTAATAATCTCATTATGACTACCTTAACAGGAACCGGAAGAACCACTCACACGGTATCCTATCATGAACTTTGAATGGAAAGAGGTTAAATCCCCGCTTAGTATATGCACTTGGCTGGTTGTAGCTAGTGTGGCAAAAATAAGTAAACTTGACATGCTCGAATGTATTGACATCATGGATTTATTTAGTTTTCCATGCTGTACCTCATCTCACGGAAATGTTTCCGGACTCAGCTCTTCTAATTATGATTGGTTTAATAATAGGAATTATCTTCAATCTAATCGGTGTAGATAGGGTAAGCCTATTATTTATTTTGATTCAGTCCCACTCACTGAATTCATACGTACTGATCTTTCGCTATGAGCAATGAATATAGGTAAAGCAAGCAAAGTTTCTCGAATCCGATACTGAGAGTTGTTCTGATGTGCTAATCAATGCTATAAACCTGTAAATTGCTTTATCAGTCATACTCTTGGCGGAGTTCGTACTACTTATTGGATATGTGAAGTTCAAACCTAAACTCTACCTTCGCGATGTCAAGCATTTATACCAACCGAGTCATCTGTTTCAGCATGAGTTTAACCTCGACAGTAGCACATTTATGCTGTATCTCTTGCCTCCTCTGGTTTTCGATGCAGGTAACTAGAAAGTTAACAGTATGTGAATACTAACCATTTTAGGATATTTCATGCCGGCTCGAGCTTTCTTCGATAATCTCGGATCAATTCTATGCTTTGCCATGATAGGAACCACATGGAACATCTTGTCGATTTGTATGAAAATGAACCTCCTGTAATTACTATTCTATCTTCACTTAGCCCTTTCTCTGTATGCAATTTCAACTACGGGACTGTTTTCGATTGATACTCCTCTGATACACTTACTTCTGTTTGGTTCTGTAGTCGCTGATGTTGATCCGGTAGCCGTTATTGTCATCTTCGAGGAATTAGGAGTACGTTTTGCAAAATTTCATTTCAAAGTCATTCGAGAATCGAAACTCTTAATCCGACCCGTCTGCATCACATGTGGATCGTTTTTCCTTTACGTCAGACTGAAGCTGATAAGAAGAAGCTGGGTTATTATGAGTTAAACCTCCACAATATAAAATCACACGTAACCACTGAAGAATTTAAAAAATCTATCGAGTGTAGAAGGCTGTTCGTTCCAATCGATAAAAAAAATGAAAATCAGATCGCTTTTTGAAAGTGTTATCGATTTTCGTCTATTCTTGGTTTCCCGGTAGAGCCATTAACCCATAGCTTAATTAATTTATTAATTGATAGCTAATAACCATATAATGTATGTTTCGTAAAGACGTAAATCAAATCAATTTTCATTTTACAACTTTTTCTTATCTTTTGGAACATTATCATACTTATTAAGTTGCTACCGGATTTTGAAACAATAGAAAACTTTAAAAAAACAATTTCAGGTTAACGACGTTCTTTTCATTAGTGTGTTCGGTGAATCTTTGCTCAATGATGGTGTGGCAGTCGTAAGTCAAATGTTATTCAAAATCTTGCTTGATTCCAAAAAGTTCAGGTCTTCTATCGTATGTTTGCTTCCTTCACTGAAATAACAGAAGGTTTGAGAAATTTTCATCTTCATTATTTTTTCGTTGTTCAGGAGGAGAAGGACTTATAACAATGGATTATGTTAACGGAGGAATTTCCTACCTCGTAGTTGCTTTTGGAGGAATTGGCATAGGACTCGTTTTCGCTTTCTTAGCTTCGTTCATCACAAAGTAAGCGTTTACTCAGATTTTTAATCTTTTTAATAACTTACTTAAGGTACTCTCGAGATGTTGAAATTTTGAATCCTGTGTTCGTTATTGTCTTGCCATATACTTGCTACTTAGTAGCAGAAATGCTCGGTCTGTCAAGTATTATGGGGTAACTTCTACATCTTTAAACTTTTTACCTTTTTATTAAATACAGAATCGTGTTTTGTGGTGCAGCAATGAAGCAATATGTCAAAGAGAACGTACCCGAGAAGTCAATTAGTGCCATCAACTATTTCATCAAAGTGGGTTAAGCAGAATTAGTATGACCACTCGTTTTTACTCCATGGCTCTCAGTATCATTTCTCATCTTGCCGACATAGATACTGGTTGCTTTTACCTGATTCTTTTTCAGGTGCTCTCACTATCATGTGAAACCGTCATTTTCGTATTCTTGGGACTTTCCACTGTTTCATCTAAACATCATTGGGATAGTGCATTCATTGTGTTGACAGTCGTTTTCTGCTTAATATACAGAACTCTTGGAGTCGTATTCATGTGTACTATACTGAATAAGTATCGCTTGAACAAATTCTCGAAAGTGATAAACGCATAAAATAGTAAATATCTCAAACGAGATCATTCTAGGTTGATCAGTTCATTATGGCATATGGAGGATTACGTGGGGCCATTGCTTACGGTCTAGTCGTAGCTCTGAATGATATTCCTGCCAAGAATATGTTCATCACTTCCACTATAGTAGTCATTTACTTTACCGTATTTATCCAGGTTTTCGTTGTTATCTAAACTTGTCTCATCGGTGTTATAGGGAATTACTTTGAAACCCATCGCTGAATTCCTACAAGTGGAAAAGAAGAGCATGCACAAGAAGAATATGACAGAACACATATATAGAGAAGTTAGTATTTTATTTTAACAATATATCAACACTTCTGCTTTAAGCTAATTGACTATACCATGTCAGGAATGGAAGATATCGCTGGTTTCAAGGGTCATCATTGGATGCGTGATACGTCAGTTTTTCTTCCCCAAGTTAAGATATTGCAATGACAAGTATTGTAGGTTCCAGAACATCAATAACAAATATCTCAAACCTCTGTTGGTGAACAAGAAAAGCATTCAGAATATGGATAAAACCAGAATTGTTAGAGTTTACAACAGGCTCCAATTAGAAGATGCTAGAAACTTCGCCAAGGTAAAAATTTCTTCATCTTCTTCACAATTTTTTACTTCTAGGGAAACAATAAAGCTTTCGTCAATGCTTTAATCAGTCATACTGATACTTCAAAAGAAAAAAGGTAGTTTGTATTGTTTTAACTTAAATTATTTAACAAAAACTATGTTACAGAGTAGAAGATTTCGTACAAGAAACCGTAGTTCAAGTTGAACTAGATGGAAAAGAAGGGTTACCCAAATATGATAACGTACCAATATAAGATTCTTTAATAACTCCGTCATGTACATTTTGTCTATTTAACATCTCATACTGTTTCATATAAATATCGAAACTATTCAGTGGTTTGAGTGAAGAATCACCATAGCTTAGGATTAACAAGTTTGGCACTAAATATTTATCTGCCACAGCGTGGTAATCATGTTTTTCTATGCATTTCTTCGTTATCAAACCAGGTTCTTAAGATTTTTATTCAGTTTTGCTCATATATATAAAAGGTTCTATTACAATTCAAAAATGAACACAGTAAGGAAAAACGGCTTTAAGGACCTGCATACAAACACCAATTCTTTAGAACTTCGTCCGATCAAATTTCAGAGAAAATCCAGTAGCTTTTACTTGATCAGGCCTCACTTTGAACTCAGCCAGGAGTTTGGCAGTGTTCTGAAAGTTATTCGATTTGAACAGATAACTTAGTTGAATAATCTTACTTC